TTACGAGATACATAGAAGACCATTAGGGTCAATCAAATGAAAAAAAATACAAGATAATTATCTCGTAGAGATTCAAATTTCACAGCTGTTAATTGCAAAAGATTAACAGTTCCTCAAATAACGTTCGGAGACTAGAATATAAAACGCCTTGCAAAAGACAAGTTTAGCTCTTGCATAATATCCCACCCTCACCTATATATAGACAATTTTATCTTAAAATTATGTTGTCATTACGGGTTAACTAACTCGTAATTACGAAGTAACTATATTACCATACTCCTCGCAGTGTTTCGTTTGATTAGAGCTAATCCCACTACTCACTGCTGTAAAGAAGTCAAATTCTTGTTCTAAATTATGACGGGTCAATAGTCTGATTAACAACCAATAGCTAACTGCGTAACAATACCAAACAGAGCTCCAAATTGGACCAAATATGTTTACATAACGTTACGTCATGACTCACGATTTTATTATTCCCAATTAACCAGTGCATAGCAGAATATTGCAAAAAAAAAATAATTGTGTGACAAACGAGGCTATCAGCACGAATATAATGTAAACAATACTATTTTGAGTCGAACAACACTTTCACCGTTTTTAATACCTTAAATCACTGTCCAAAGTTTTCGGAAAGGCCCCTGATTAAAAGAAGGGCTGTCATGTTGCTGTGCTTGGGGATAGATTTGATTGAACGGGAAGAATAGACACATTCCCTCAAAAGCGCAAGTATCAGAAGCTAATCCAGCAATGGCCAGAGAGAGATTTCTCGGGCCATTGCTTTAGGAATATGCTATATTACGAGTTCGCTATATCATAATTACAAGATAACTATACTCTTCAAAAAAAGTAGGGGATATTCAGAAACAATACAAAACTGCGGAAATGCATTGCTGTTTTTATTAGAGGTAACCAGGGTATATGTTAATAACAGGTCAATTGCCTACACATGAACATAAACAGTTCATATTAGGCGGCTTATCTGACGGCCCAATTTCACTCGCAAAGAGATACACTGTCAAAAGTGAATTTTGTCTTAATAATGATTAATTGCTCCTAATCAACCGTCCAATCCCGATTTGGGACAATCTGAACCACTCATCTTGCAGTGCTACGGTTAATTCTTGCTGTGTTGTCGGTTGACGTTGACGTCGACGAACACGTCTCCCGATCAAATTAAACGTAACACGCTAAAGAAAAGATACGCTAAACAGTAAATCTTATGCAAGAACCGATAGGAAAACAAACATGAATAGGATAAACCAGCAAGCGGCAGTTTTCATCAAGTGCCAAATTTGACAATGCCCCCCCCCCCCACGTGTTTTTTTTATCAAAATTGAGTTAGGACCAAATTTGCAGTTACTAGGGTATGTGCCTCCTGTTGTTGTACTAGATATTCCAATCTTTTGATTTTGTAAGCAGTTACACCCATGACACAACCTAGCAACTTCCATCATTTGCCTAGTATACCACAGCAAAACCTAGTAACTCAATAGTCAAGTCAATGGATAAGCTGGCGTTTAATATTCATTCATTACGTTTTCCTATGTTTTCTCAAAATAAGAAAAAAGTGAGTTACTAGGTTTTGCCTTTTGACGCTGTGAACATACTCTCAAAGCATGTCAAATGTCCATGACTATTTATCATATCACAACCTGCATAAGTATTTGCATTTCAATATCCCCTACTTCTTTTGAAGAGTATATTTCGTAATTACGAAATAATCAAAATATCTTTTTCACTTGATTGACCCTAATAGTCTTCCGTAGCTTTATTATGGAACTAATATCATAATCGTATGCCTACCGTGGCGATATATAGGGGGTTGGGATGGTCTAGTGGTCTAGAGTGCCGCGCTTAGACTTGTCTGCGATATTACCTTTGCTGGAAGCGGACGTTAAACACAAAGAACAACAACAACAACACCGTGGCGATAAAGTAACTTCAATAGTATGGTTATTTTTGAGAAAATCGCGAAGTGGCACCACAAAATCATTATAAATCAATTCACAAACACATAGTACTGAATTACTAAAGTCCATAAGACCAATTAAGGATTCACTATTTTGGAATTCAATATACAGAGAACAAGTCATTCTTGTATATCACCAAAATATATTGTATATCAAAATATTGACACCAATATTGTACTTTAAACTAAATGGTAGATTATTCCATAAACCAGGTGTGTGATAACTAAAAGAGCGCTGACCATAAAAGACTAGTTGACGATTTCTGGGCTTTAATGGTAGTTTATCTGATGTACGTAATGTTCGGTCAGGTCTATAAAGTTCTAAAAGATCTAAGAGGTAAACACGAGCTAAATTATTTAAACATTTAAAAGTAAGTAATAAAATCTTAAAATCAATTCGATATTTAACAGGTAACCAGTGTTAATTATATAAAACAGGAGTTATGTGGTCTCATTTCTTAGTTAAAGTAACAAGTCTAGCTGCAGTATTCTGTCCTTTTTGTAATTTATCTATAAGCTTTAAAGGTAAACCAACTAAAAGTGAATTGGGGTTATCTAACCGAGAAGTGAGATAATTAACAAGTGACTTATTGGCCGCGATAGCTACCAATTTACGTATTTCACATTTGTCTGACAGCTAAAAACAACTAATTTGTGTTCAAAAAATCATGTAGCATAACAATCCCGTGATTTTGTTTGTCAACTGGGGGCATGTAGACCGCGGAAATTAAACATTAGTGGCGATATTAAAGAGACGATTTATTAAAAGAGGGCAGAGAGTTTGACAAGAAATGGTCCCAAATTCGACGAAAGAGTAGGAGGATACTCCGCTGTCCGTAAAAAAACTTCCGCATAGTACACTGCATGGTGTATGCCCCTTTTCGTTGGCCCGATTGATGCAGATTAATGTAGTAGGGAACACGTTAAACACATTTCATTTCATTTCTTTGGCTGTGGAAACTAAAGTCAGCTGCTTATGGACCATTTTAATATAGGTTTGGTCTTTAAGTATCTTGTATTGATTTTAATCAACTATACACGTCTCCCATTTCCATTATAAAGAACGACGCTTTTATTGAAATTTGTTTAGCATATAAAGTTATGATCTGTGGGCCTATATCCGACTACTAAACAGGCTTGAGTCCCCGATAATACGCATATCCATAACATATCTACGGTGACTGATTTAGGACACGCAAAAAAAAAAAAAAATAATAAGATACTAAATCGGGCGCTTGAGATACTAAGTCGAGCGCTCGAGATAGTTAAGTCGAGCGCTCGAGATAGTTAAGTCGAGGGGGTTGAATGTAGAAGCTCGGCACGATTGCGCCAAGGTAAATTAGACATATTAAATAGATAACCTGGATCAGACCTGAGCTTCTAGATAAGAGGAAATGTCAGTCTCTCCTAGCAAAACTCTGTAATATCGATATATACAATTATTGATTCGTATAATAACATGCGATATACTCCCCACTTAGGAGATATTTAGTGGTGGTAATGAGCATGGGATGGAGTGTGTGTGTGCGTGTTGAGCGGGGAGGGGGGGGGGTCCGCTTCGTCACTGCAGCTTTGGTTACATAATGCACAAAATTATACAGCTTAAAACATCGGTTGAGACGTGTTCGATTGTATTATCTTAGTATCTCGAGCGCTCGACTTAATTATCTCGAGGGCTCGACTTAGTATCTCAAGCGCTCGACTTAGTATCTCGAGCGCTCGGAACTGATAGCGATCTCACTGAACACGCGACTGTTAATTTATTCATCACGTGATCAACAAAGTGGCGAAGACGCAACCCAAAGGCATGGTCGGTCTTGCTACAATTCTATTAGTATATTATTGTCGACATCATCAAAACTTGAAAAGTGGGCGTCTTCGTTCGCTTCCATTTGCTTATTTATAAAGTCACATGACACATGTCTCTTATCGCGTGATGTTATTTCCATGACTCCATGAGAACGCTCATGTCTACTGCAACTAGTTGCCGCTAGTTGCAGCAAGTTGCAGAAAGTTGAACAGGTGCAACTGACTGCAACTAGTTGCTTTGAGTTGTAAGAGGCGCTCAGGTCGACTCTTTTTTTTCAGTTGCATTCAGTTGCTTTCAGTTGCTCCCAGTAGCCGAAACGCCGGTTGCTTTCAGTTGCAAGGTCGACATAAGCCCCCCTTTATATTGGCTGTAGTAAAATGTAGACATGTCTTTTATATCTAATCAAATCAACACTACTTTCATTGAAATTTGATTTATTACCAGATGCACATACATGAATTTATGAGACATAATGTGTGATCGTTCATTATTTAAAGTTACAATTCATGTTTTTAAAACATAAATCATGCTGGTCAAACTGATTACACGGTTTGTTGACATTCTCCTTCATGTACAACTTCTAGGAATTTACGTTGTCTGAAATACAAAAAAAATCTTTTAGCAACAAACCAAAAAGTTTCTATTGTCGTCTTTTGATTGAAATTTCTTTTTTTTAACAAAGGTCAGTAACGGCGTGGTAACCCATGATTTTGCATGAGAAAGAAAATCCCGTCCCCCCCCCCCCCCAAAAAAAAAAAAACAAACAATATTTATATGTGTGTGCGGGGAGTCGGTGGGGCGGTAGTAGTCCCTCCTACTGCCGCCAGGTAGGCTGTGTGGAACATGCTAGAGTCGATTTGTGGCAAATCTGACTCACGGTATATGTTTGAGACTGGTTAAGCATTATGATTTTGATTATAATGTTGAAAACCGCATTGAAATCGCGTGATTTTTTGCCATTTGCAAGGGGGCGCAAACTCAAGGGGGAACAAAAGCTCAAAACTATGACGCAAAACTCGTCATTTCGTCTCTCTCCCTTAGCCCCTGAGGTCAGTGGTATACTATTGCATCGCTATAAAATGTCGTCAATAAATTAATGATCTTCTTTGGGGACCGATCCTATAAATATCCCCAGGGCCCGATTTTTTGCTATCCACAAACTGGCCAGATTTATTATTATATTTACATTTGAATTTACATTTACCAGTTGAAGATCTTACCTGCAGGATTCGGATCCCATGACACATTCTGAGTTGTATGTATTGCCATCATTAGCACAGACTGGTTTGTAGATAAATGTACAGGCACGTAGACAACTACATTCTCCAGCAGCAGGTTGTTTCACTAGACTGAAACCCTTCTTAGCCATTCTAAAATATACCAAATACAATCATGTTACATTTTCAATGGCGATGTTGCTCAATTTTGTTACGGGTGCTGTAAATTACGGCCTAGGCTTAGACTGGGTCAACTCTTTCCAAATTGCAATTTGAATTGCATATTATTATATTATTATTACATTAGGGTCTACATTACAAACCCCACCTCTACAAATTAGCACATATTACAGAGAGGTGTGTCTATACATACATTAGATAAACACTTACTCGCAAGCATCGGCTTTCATCGTACATTCATTGCCATATGTCTTCGTATAGGTAGCACAAACCGGGTCATTGATTAACTGACATGCTCTCAAACATGTCTCTTCACAATACACTGAAAAATAAGTAACCACAAAATAAACTTCAATAGACTGGTCACCGTATCATGAAACAGTAGAATAAAACAATACAGCCAAGTCTTTAACTCAGTTTTATCCAGTCTTCGACATTGCAAACATGACTTATTGGTCAGTTTAAAGCAACATTGACAGAATGCTTGCGAGCGTCATGTGTAATGAGCGACTCGATGAACGAGGCTGAACATATCCCACAAGGGAAAACTACCAGAATAGATTCGAATAACCAGACTGCCATTCAATTTGTACTCTTCGCGTATTTCGCAGAACATAACTGATTATAAATTACATTAAAAACAGAAACAATTGAATGTAAATCAGTTTATATACATTCATATTATATTATTATATGCGTTGCGTCTCATTTGTTTCCATTTCGAGGTGCCAAAGAATAGGAATGTAGCTCCTTTAAATAAGACAGCACCTTCAGATTTCTCCCGCGTCGTAAACAGAGATAATAAATCCCTAATTAGCATGTCATTAACATTAGTTAGACTAGTTCAGCAACTACTCAGACGCATGTATTCTTATTTCTAAATATCAAACACTTACCCCCTACAACAACTAAAACAAGAACGGCTAAGGCTTTCATCTTTATGAATTTGGTTAATTGTAAAATCTAGAACCGATTAAAACATCCGTTATATATAGTAATTTATGTAGTAGTTTATATAGAAATGTATGTTTTCCTTACACTCCAGATTACGATGACTATATGACAGTATTTTTTGCCAAGAAACACTCCCCTTTAAATTTATAATATGTACGTTTGATATTGATTTTAAATAAATTTCTTTGATATCCTGAACAAAAAGTGAAATATTACTTTAGAGGCAAGTGCGTGCTAACGATCTTTGTTGATAAATTATCAAAATATTATCTACCGTGTTATGAAACTCTTGTGTATATCATTTTACCTTTGTTGGTTGTAAACATGTAGAAACAGAAGTGATCGGTGCGGGCTATATCTTATATAGTGTAGACAGAAATTATTGAGTCGGGATATTAAGAGGCCATAAATTATCTGTTTTTATACTATTCAAAAAAAGTAGGGGATATTTGATTTTAAAGTGTTATTAAAGTCACCTAATGAAACTGACGAAGAAACAAATGACAAAATGAAATGAAGTTCACATTCATCGATTTATTCCAAATGATCGTTAGACTAAGTAAGGCACAGACTGACCATTATAAGGGTAAAATGATACCCGGGGTCAAACAGCAAAGTTACCACAGCATCACAACCAAGTCGGTAACGGGTAAATCCTCCTCTGTTTGCCAAACAAGCATTGATCCGACGTGGCATACTCCTAATGAGACGTCTAAGGTCATTTTGGTCCAGATTGTCCCATTCCTGTTGCAACGCAGCAGCAAGTTCTTGGACATTGGCAGGACGCTGTTGACGTTGACGTAACCTCTGTCCAAGCATGTCCCAGACATGCTCGATGGGGGAGAGGTCGGGACTCAGTGCTGGCCAAGGTAATGTGGTGATGTTCTGTTGTTGGAGGTAACCTGTAACGATCCTGGCCCTGTGACATCTTGCGTTGTCATCCTGGAAGATGAAACGGCGGCCATGACGTCGTGCGAACGGCACAACATGGACTGCCAAGATGTTGTCCCGGTAGTACTGGCCTGTAACACGCCCTGCAACAACATGTAAAGCCGTTCTTCCAGCAACAGTGATGCCTCCCCACACCATAACAGAACCACCCCCAAATCGATCATGTCTGATGACGTTAACGTCTTGGAAGCGCTCGTTTCGACGACGCCACACCCTCCTACGTCTGTCCAAAAAATCAACAGTGAACCTTGACTCATCTGAAAACATCACATTGCTCCAGCGTCGATTATCCCAGTGTTGACGATCCCTACACCGACGACGTCTTGCCTGAATGTGATGATCTCTCAAACAAGGGATCACGCGAGGACGTCGGGCGCGAAGGTGACCCCTATGCAGTCGATTCCGAATCGTCTGGCCACTCACTCTCACACCAGTGTCTGTTTGAAGGCGAGCGCTGATCTGATTTTCTGTGATGACACGATTTCTCAAGGCCAAGGTACGGATAAATCGATCCTGGGCTTGAGTTGTCGCCCTTGGTCGACCTGAGCGTGGTCTGTCCTGTACACATTCATCGTCCGCGCCACAACCGCCTGTGTTGTGCCGATCTGTTGCATGCCAAGGGCACGTAACCTTTCATTTTGGGTAAGCCGACGCATATCAAAATTTGTTTTCTGGTCACTAAAACAATTAAACTGATGTTTCCACCCTGGAATTCAATGCCACAATGACTGTAACATTCAAAGTCAGAGTCGTGCAAATCTTGGGTTGGACCCCCATGATGATCCCAAGCATCACCTGCATTCCATGCGGTAGCTATTGGTGCGTTTGGGCGTCACATGTAACTGGAAATGTTTCTTCTGTTAGGTTCTATAGTGACTTTTTTCGTAGTCATTTGCATATTTTAGTATTATGCCCCCAAAATCAAATATCCCCTACTTTTTTTGAATAGTATATTACAACAACATTAAAGGTCCGCTGTATCGAATGTTTAGTAACCTAGTCAGTAGTGATTTTAACTACCGGCTAGAGATGTTTACGATCGCTTAATATTTTATTTCACTTAGATTACATGTGGAACAGTAAAGCAGACTGATTAACTTCCCAGTTAAATGAGACGTTGTAGGCCTATCAGGTGTCCTGTAAACATTGGCATGATTAAAGCGATAGTTGAGTTGCAAGGAAGGTAATGTTGGATGGTCACCAGACAATCTGTGTAAATGCCAGCGTATATGCTATGTAAGACGGATGTGAGCCATGCAACGACAATACGAATTGCTTCAATTTTAAATTCAAACTACCAAGACATCTTTTATGTACACTACAATTGGCATTCCATACCATCCGAACGAATAGGCTCTTTTACTTGCCAGATTTCGCCTTGGATCATTGACAAGGGGTAACTAACTCGGCAAACCTCGGAAGATTCCGTTACTCTGCATCTAGCCTCCGCTGTATGACGGTAACTGATCTGTACCTACGCCTATACAATTGCGATGCGGCACCAGTTTACTTATTAAGAAAACTTGCCGCTTTCAAAAGAAAGTTATCAAAATTGCGTCGTTCCACGCGTGTGTAGAATTTGTTGTGCAAAGTTGTTCTTGTTTGAAGGAAATCAGATAAACTTGAAAGAAAAACAGCTTCCGACTTTGAAATATTATTTGTATGATAAAACTTTCTTCAAAGGCGTCGTCATGGGCAACACCGTTGGTAATCCGGGAACTTGAAAATAGTTCCAATCACGGACTTCGTCATACAGCCGAGGCTAGATGTAGGGTACTAGAATCTGCTGAGGTTTGCCGAGTGGGGAGTAAACATGCTTTACAATCCAAAGAAACATTCTCGGCCAACATTGGGCACGATCGCGTAACTACTTGGAAAGCATGTTCTATTTATGACGATCTAGCTACTTTCCAGAGAAAAGAAATAGATTAAACAAAAACTAAATCAACTAAAACTACGCACTTCACGGTGTATAATCTATATAAACACAAGTTCTGAATAAACATGAGAAAAATCCAAGTATGACATTTTCAACAAAGCATATAAAAATTAACGATAAAAATAGACACAAATTAAATGAAAGGATATCTGATAGTGGGGGGAAACTGGAGGACCCGGGGAAAATCCATGAGGTTGGACAGGCGACCCTACTTCATGTCACGTACAATCGGGGAATCGAAACCACACCAGACCTTATGATACAGCGCGCACGTGTGATACATTTGGATTAAAAACATATTCAAACTTATTAATCTATCAAAATTTTGCTTCAAATCCCTCTCAAAACATTGTATCTGCGAGAAAATACCCCAACATATAAAACATCTATTTTTAGAAGCCATGTTTATTATTTAACTCGATTTAGGGAGGGCCCATTTTCAGAATGTATCTGTCGTTACTTACTGTCCATTTGCCACACATATTGAACCCTAAGGAAATTCTTGGATTCTTTTCCCGCCTTTAAACCCCTCAATAAGCCGCCGGGTTGCCAGTTAGTGATACCCTGACATTTTTGCCCAGTGCTTGCCTCATGGGTGTATTTCAGGAAATCCGGTATTTTTCTAGTAAGATTGGGCGTCTCTACTTTCCATTTATACCAAATTTGCCATACTGTTATTGGAAATAATTACCCTATAAATACTTTAGTGATAATTTATCTTTAACTTAACAATTTCTTTAAAAATGGGGTTTATCGTCCACTCGACATAAACTGGGTCATTTCGGGACTAACATATGGTTCAATTTATTTCCATAATTCGCTTGCGCGTAGGGGTCTTTAGCAGTGGGGAGAAACTGGGGGACAGGGAGAAACCCCACAGGGTTGGACAGGCGACTCAGTCATATCTAACGGAAACAATTGACGATTATTTAAAAACCCGCCGTTTTGGATTTCTGCCATCTCGGATTATCTAAATTCTATCCAACAGACAAAAACGACGACTAGTTTAAAATCCACCATTTTTCTGCCTTGTTGGATTTTCAAAATTCATTATTGAATTCAACGACATCGAAAACAATATAAAATACATGATTTATGGCATATGTATCTGTCACTCGAAAATTAAATATAGCTCTAGCAGGTAGCGTGTCGCCGATGTTCCCGTCTTCATTATCCTAGTCGGGGCAGAACAGTAGGACGTTAAACCCCATTTCATTTCATTTCATTTCATTATGTCTCTGATGTTCAGATCGAATTTACGCGATACTGACCGGTTATATTGAGAAATAGACAGGGAGCCCAGGGGGTCAGCCTAGCTGAAAAGTGTACCAATTTTCTCCTTTATGGTATCAATTAGTGTTCGGCACGAATATTCGCTCATCGAAAATAATATTCCAATAGCAATTACCATATTCGAATATTTTCGAATATCTATTATTTATTCTATTTGCTCTCAAATATGATTAAAGGCGACTTCCATTGCCACATTTACATTCAAAGCTTACTTAGATTACCTAACCGCAGCTTTTAAGGGTGCTACCCCTACACAGATCTACCGTCTTCAGAGACAGTTATTCGGTAAGTAGCTTGTTACCTACTTTGGTTAGCCAGTTAGTTCCGCGATGGAGTTGGCTGTCTTGACATGAAGTTGAAACATGGCTACATAGCTCAAGATACTTCCTCTACACGGGACGTGGAGTCAGGCAAAGTTCAGCCAATTAAAAAGTTCTACACAAGTTCTTCAGGCAACAGCAAAAAGTATGACAAGATTCAGCGCAGCAAAAAACATCACTGAGAAATTGATCAAGTTTGTAGCCAAGCATTATCAGCCCCTCTGTCTTATTGATAATGACCATTTTCGGAAATTGGTAGAAGCCCTGAATCCATCACACAATTTGCGGTCAAGTAAAACACCCAAAAAAAGAATGGAAGAAATCTATGATGCCGTTGGTTCCGACGAACGCCAAATCAGGAATGACCCAAGTCAGAAGTTAGCCCTGTGACCACAGATGTATGGACATCAGATGCATTAATTTAACCGCTCATTTTGTATCACCAGATTGGGGGATGGTGGCTAAGACTCTGGAAGTGAAATCATGTCCAGGTTTACATACCTCGGATAAACTAAAAGAGCATCTGACGGAGATGGCAGATGACTGGAGTATGGTTGAGGTCCGTGTCTACTTGATGCGATGTCATGGAAGGCCAAGGTCTTGTGTACAAATTGGCAGTTTACGTAAAAGATCCACAGGCAATTGCTAAAATATAATCGTGTCACATGTCAACAGAAATTTCACGTATTTCATAAATTATAATAAATTGAATATAAACCACTTTAAATTTCAAGACCCGTCGAATATTCGAATAGTATTCTTGTTCGAATATCCGAACACTAGTATCAATGTATGTATATCTGGTATCATCAGAATGTAAGTCTGCCGGGTTTCTGTTGGTGGGGGTGGTATTCCACGCCCTAAATGCCATGACCCCCAACTAGGCTAGATTAGCTCAAAACGGTATGAAAGTGTACCGTACATCTTCAGGTATTACAAAAACACTCTGACAGACATTTCTAGTGGTGGGGTACCCGACAGAGCTATGTAATTGCCAGACATTTGTAGTGGCGGAGTATCCCTGACAAGAGTTATCTAATTTCCAGACCAAAGCTAGGCTACATGTAGATTTGCTCAATCTGTACCACCTAAAACAGCTTTGGAGTTGTTCAGTACCACGAGGGGAATCATGAATGACCACTGCCAGACAGTTTGTGCGGTGGGTTACCCCTAATAGACACGCCCAAAATGCCACGCCCTCCAACTAGGATAGATTAGCCGGCACTGTTCCCGTGGTCCAAAAAGTTAAAAATTGTGCCAGGATGCGTAGATTACTATTTTGTAATATGGTTCTAATCCGTTTACATCTTTCATATATAGAGACCAAATAAACATTTTCCATTTTATGAAGTATACTTAGTATCTTCGACTAAAATCGTCGATTAAAGTCGGTCAATTAGTTTCGTCTCTGTTCTCAAGCGGGACTAATTGTAGACAGACAGCGTAACTTTCGCATGCGTCCCACCGGCGTTGCGCATTAGGCCAGCAGCCAAAATTTCTAGCGTGAAGTTTCACTACACGGTCTTCTTAGCTAAACAAATTATACATTTTTGGAAAGCTCCAGGAACACAAATCAGAGAGTTCCAAGAAAAATGTTTGTACAAACTCGATTTAGGGCCAAATGAAAACTGGCATACTGGTCAAATAAATGCTATAGTTAGGCCTATTCTAACAATTCTGAAGTTGACATAAAATTAAATGAAATGAAATGAAATGGGGTTTAACGTCCTACTGTTTTGCTCCGAACTGGGCTAATGAAAACGGGCATACGCCATACAGTGTGCTATGAGGGAAATTTTGCCTGGACAGCGGCACTACAGCCTACTCTTATATCGAATTCCAACTATCAAGGGATTTTTTACGTGCACGCCAATGTGTACACGGGACCTCGGTTTTTCGTCTCATCCGAATGACTAGACAGCTGTCGTTGTCAGGCCCTCCGTCCTACATCACTGACAAGGGGGATCTACGCCGGAAAATCTGGGTGAATTTTCTCGGCCAATGCAGGGATCGAACACCCGACCTCCAGACTAGCGAGCCAGCGTCGTACCCACTTAGCCACCGTGGCCCCAACATAAAATTAAATATTGGCAAATACACCTAATGCATTCAACAGTTCAACTTTGGACAAGAATAGCGTATTGGTTAAATTTTGATTTAAACAAGAATACCCAAAATATAAAGGACAAGGGAACAGACAGAATTTTAGAAATTCTTTAACCGTTAGTGAGTTATTGTTTAGACAATTTATTCGATAAACTGAATATGATTTAACAACAAAGGGCCTATATGATTCTCCCCAAAAATGTCTCGCTCTCGACCATTAAACCATACTTAGTTTGCTCACTAAAATAGATATATTATCAAAACTAAATAATACTGTACAGGGAGTGACAATTGTCTTACTGTTCCGCACCAATCCGTATATATAATCAAGATGAGCATACGCCATGCATTATTAGCGTGGGGGGGGGGGTTGCAATGCACATGTACAGTTAATATTTCTGCTTTCCATGCACGCACGTGGCATTAGTGCAAGGGAGCCGTGGTGACTCAGTAAGGGGCTGGCTCATTTACCGGGAGGATGTAGAACGGTAGGACGTTAAATCCCATTTCATTTCTTATCGGGAGGTCCAGGGTTCGATCATGGTCGGGCGGGATTTCCCCATGTCAGTGGTGCAGGACGGAGGGCTCCGTGAGTAAAGCGCTGGCTAACTAATCAGGAGGTCCGGGTTTGATACCCATGTTGGCCTAGGAAGTTCCCAGAAATTTTCCAGTGTTGTTTCTCTTTGTCAGTGGTGCAGAACGGAGGGCCTGCCATATATAGCGTCTAGTTATTTGGGTGGGACATCAAACTGGGGCCTGTGTACACGTTGGTGGGTACGTAAAAGAACTCTTAGCAGTTCTTATTCGAAATAGGAGTAGACCGTAATGTCGCTGTTCGGGCAAAATCCCCCATATAGCATGATGCACAGTCTTAAACGTATAGATAACTCCTTGAAATACAATGACATTTCACTGCAAATACGTTAAATTGGGCCACAAAGTTTATACTGTATTTTTTTTGTAATGGCCCACACCATTTTTATATTTTGTTTAGATACACGATTTATATGATTTTAAATGTTTGTGTGAGGTTTAGCTATGTAGGGCACGGTACGACAGAAATTGCCGGGGTGGGAGGATGATTAAACATGTGCGCGTTAGATCATAAAATCTGTCATTGAGTCAAGTGCGATTAACCCGCTTGTACCTTAGTCCATGATTTGATATCTTTTGGAGAGTTTCGCAAGATGCGTGCTCTTTCCAGAACACCCGAGCCTGTGTGATTATTTAGATATATTTACATTTAGGAAGACTAATATTTGCTTAATTTTGTCCTTACTTACATGGTTATTTTTTTTATCCAATTACCCTGTAAAACTATTTGTATTTATGCTTCAGCTTCTTTTCCCAGCCAATAAAGGAAATATTGTAAGAGAAAAAAACGGCCTGATAGATTTGTGGTAAAGAGGCAACATCAAGCAGCCAATTCCTGGCAAGAATAGATGCTACTTGAATTTATATAGATGGAATTTGTAGGATAAGCTATAGTGTGCTATCGTATTGTAAACAATAATTTTATTTCGTCAAGATATTTATCAAAATGAAAATCGCAAGGGTGTTCACATTGGGGACAGGTAGACTGGTCCTCATTCTGTGACTAATACTAGCTCATGATAATTCACTATTTTGATTGGTTTTATTTCTTAAGAGTGGGGTAAATGGACGGAACTCGGATCTTCGGTGGGATTTTCCATAGTGATTGATAGTTGCTCACAAGACCATAGGGCTTTGTAACTATTGATAATATTGATTCAACACCTGCCCAGATGTTGATGATTTGTACAATACAAACACAGGCATTTGTAACATGGAAAATCTGTTTGCAATATAACATTAGGCCGGTTGCCGAAAAATTACTCGTTGCTTTATCAAGTGAAAAAAATCACTCATGTACGCCAGGCTTTAATGTTTATAGCGATTTCAACGCTATAAGTTCAATTCTTAAACTTCTCGAAAAAAATATATTACATGTATACAAAAACGCCGAAATGTAAAAAAAAGTAATCGGTGGCAGAGTTTAAAGCTAAATGTAGGTCAAGAAGCAGACCAACTTTACATATCACAGTTCTGGTTCTGTCTATCACAATAAAGAATACACATTTAATGTTTAATGTAGGTTACGTGTCTGCTTGTAAATTACTTGGTAATATCTTAGATGATAAATCGTTTGTTTCCCCATCGTACTGATGACTAACAACTGATGGTTTTAACCTGGCTTTAGTGTGTAAATTTACATACCTGAAGAGGAATAATAAATGTCAATATTAGAATAAAACAAGCCTACTAGGGTTAGGGCTTGTCATTGAATTGGGTTTCACTTTCAGTCTGTGAAGAGATAACGATGAAAGCATCATACACCCGCATTTGAGTAATTAAATATGCAAGGGTGGCATTGATGTTTGAACTGATCATTATGGTATGCAAAGACAAATGTCATATTGTGAATAACTCATATGGGAACCAAACGTTTTAAGAAAGTTTATGGAGTTAATCCACCAAACTGCGAAAGGCCAATGGAATATGCACGAATGGCACTGATATTAAAACTTAAATAAGAAACTATAATAAAGAAATATCTGGGGAAATTCAACAGAAAACGAAAATACCCCCTTTTATTAATCGTTAACCGAAACATATAAAATAATTTGGAAACCAAACTTCCGAATTCAATCGATAAAAATGGTGAAAGTTTCCCAACCTAATAAACTAACGGCAATTCCGTGAGTTTTGATCTGAAACTGAGATTGAGCCGTAATTGTACCTGTTAATTATTATAATAACTCACCTCGAGGTAGGATCTATATTATATTGAAGGTGATTATTATATAAACTTTTAACGAAACATTGAGGTAGAAGTTGGTATATTGTTTCCCTTTCTGCTAAAACTTCCAGTGGTGTAAATTGACCAGAATACCACTGCTTGATCATCCAGGCTGTATCCATGACACCGAGAAATCCATGCGCCGCTCCGGTACCTGATGGCCAAAATGGCTGAAATGGAACGCAGGCTGTTAGGATGTGCCAGAGTTATAGAATTTGTTGATTTTTTTAAACCAACCCAAAACATAGTGCTACAATTTGAGAAAACTAAAATTAAAACAAGAGACAATCCATAAATATTTAGATATGTCGCTAAAAGACCCCTGTCCACTATAAGAAAACCCGTCGATTTCTTATAATTTCAACCAATACTAACTAATATCTAATTCCTTATAATTTCAACCAATACGACAGTAATCATGATTTTAACTTCTGCTATTTAAGCTACCGGGGTCTTAGCGTTTAGATAATCATATACTAAAATATGGAAACTTCTTATAGCAGAAATAATGTCCAAATTTGTCGAGTAATGCCAATTCTATTGGGCTCTCACATAACATGCGGTTAGTCAAAGCGGAAGCAGACTGAATTATCGAGGGAACTGAATAATACTAGATCAGCTTTATTTCCAATTTCACTGACCATCTTCGTATTCAAAATAATTGGGTGTTCTGTTTTGAAAATATTAGTTATCAAACTGAGGTCTTGTCTTGGTGTTGCAGCTATCGGCAAAATGGATCGGAAAGATCAAGAAATTTCTTCATCAGTGTATACCTCTAATAAACTGTCGCCAACTATAGCTGCCAGTAACATGTGACCTTTTCTCTCGACGACCCTAGAAGAATATTCGGCAGTACAAAGACATGTAAAATCAAACATAGCCACATCGGGTTCACCATCCTTATTTGGTTGAAACTCTAAATCTGGTAACTTGCATTGTGTTGATTCGTTTGCGGTTTCTTTAGCATAAGCTAATAATTTGTCGTGGTCCACATTTTCTTTTTGTAGTAGAATATTCGGATCACTAAAAGTCTGGAAGAAAAAATACTATCATATATTAAACTATATAACAAGCTGACGATATACCACGGTATTTTATCGAAGATGGTAGAGAAATCCAAAGAAGGAGAACTCGTAGGCACAATAGTGGGCTTGCTAAGCAACTGCCCACTTATATCAGGCTGTATTAAACTTGAAGAAAATTATGCGATTTGCTACATAAAAAATTTTGCCCCAATGAACATTCCAAATTTCAAATACTCAAGTTTCAAATGTCACAATCTAAACGAGACGATAACTGATTTCCTTCCGAAATCTTTTGAATTTCGACTGGGTTTATGCTCCAATCTCATGAAAACTTTACAAATTTCATATGGAACTTAGTCCTGTATCGCGTTTTTATGTTTCTGAATGTAAACGGTGGGATATATCCACGATTTGCTAATTTCTATAGGGCACTTTCTTCCAAATCATTACTAAATCTATGCAAATTTGAAAATTAAATCTAAAGTGTTCACAGGAAATTGTAAGCGGATCGACGATCGAAGGACGGGTTAGGACACAGGTGCCGACAATACCATCCACACGCAAAGAGATTCTATAACTTTTAATTGCTGAACAGAAATGTATTAGATAAAAACTTAACATCCACAAGCAGCATTAATTTTTCATATTAAGCTTTAAAGAATCTGAATACAACATACTTTTAACACTCAGTAATTAAGAAAGGTATCTACCTCTTTCAATACTCCCTTTCTCAACAAGCTTTCCTTTTTAGCTGTAAACACAAAATAATGTGTTTCGCCTTTAAAGTAGACTATATTCTCCAAATCTATATCCGTTTTATTTTTCAGATCATTAAAGAACGCTTGGTCATAAAGATACGACAATCCACAAATCTCTGGTACCAAAGCATCACATTTAGTTCGTTTGTTGACAAAGTTGGCTGTTATGGCAATCGCTAATTTACCTCTAAATTCTTTTCTTTTAAATCCTTGAAAAATGAAAATACGTAATAAATTTCTAGAATTCAGTGACTTTAATATGGTAACATTCCATGTGAGAGTGGGCACGTTATTGTCGCCTATCTATTCGTCCGTCGGATCGTCCATAACGAAATAATTACAAGATTCGGGGGTATAGATAGATACCAATAGTAGAAGCGCTTATATTGTTCTGCTCGGTCATACAGACAAGTTCAGATACGTATTCTGGGCGCATTCATCCATACCAATTCGGAAGATGTGCTCAGATACTATAGCGGCAACATGTTGCATATATGATGCCAAGTTAAATACGTGCATTGGGTGGACCTGGGAACGTGTAGCGGATTTATGTTCGGATTCATGCACCTTTGAGCTTTGGTATAAGAAATCATCTTCAGGTGTATATTGGGTGAACTTAGATACGTGTTTATAACTTTACCAGAAGAATTCAGTTTGACACATGAAGGTGTAAACAAGCCGATTTGTAGAATCTTTTGTTTTGGGGAAACGATATAATTTATTCCGAAGAAAGTCCCGAACTTAAAAATCTCGAATAAATTCTTGCATTATTTTAATGATTAATTAATGAGATCCATACTGATAATTTTACCTTTCAATCCATATCTTTTACCATCAGCACCTATAACAGTATTAAACTCATACTGACAAACTGTGTGATCTTCTGGTTCTGTCTTACATCGCCATCCAGTACCTATTAAATATTGTAAAAAGGGTCTCCATTTAAAGATTTATAAAATGTGCCATTAAAAATCATGCTTTCTTTCAAAATCAAGTTTTAACAAACTCATACTTCCTTTGACCATAAACTTGAAACTATTTCATAAATATATGGAGGCGCAGTGAGAACGCACAACTGATTTGACTGGAAGTTTCGAATGAGACATAACGCAGCTTAAATGTGATTTTTAGGCTGGATATTATACGAACCTCAGAATATCAACAACAATCCACAGACGCTCATAACGACTGTACTTTACAGTGAACCTTAGGAACACGGGGTAAAATCAAACATCAGAATGATATATGTGTGCGCCGACACCATCCATACATGGTACATCGCCGTATGGATGAACTTTGGCTCTGAATGACTGATTGTGAGATCCTTCTCCACTCTCGCAGCAATGCTGCTTGCAGAGGCTCTGGTATTCATAGTGCGTTCAGGGGTCAACCTTTGCATATCGTAGTATTTTCCTCGGAACTGTTGGGGTTGTACTGACTGGCGTTTTAAATGCACACTGAAATAGTTATTTTCAACATTTTTTGCTGTGAAGACCTGATCTGTGATGTGTTTATGCCATCGTCAAATCATCATTCTTACCTGTTATCATTGTGATCTGATGCTGTTACATTCAGAATTGCAAAATTAAAGTGTATCTCTCAATCGAGATTTAATACAATCATCTATTTATAAAAGTGGTGTGTTTGCATTGCTTCTCAGTAGCTTAGCTATGTAGTGCCTGTTTTTGTGTGTATGTTTAAGAAATGACTTCATAAAAACAGCAAACAAGGTTATAAACATGAAACAAAATAGTGTGCTTTCATTATGTACGTAATTATATTATTTGATTGTTAGTCCAGTAAATAAACTTGTTATAAATACCCGTTGTTTGGTCTTCAGGTGGTTCTATCAAATCATTAAATGCGACATTAATGTGAACCTCTACACCCAATAATAGAGCAGTCTTTACCAGTATACATTGTAATTTTCGTATACCTGAAATACAATATTAAATCGGTACTGTTACTATATCATACAGTAATTTTTACTACAGAAGTGCCGGTAGAGAAATAATGATACGCCAATTTCGAGCTTTGGGTTATTTTGAGACTAACATGGTTATTCTATTTGCTATGCTCATGTGTACGATGCGAGGAGAGCTACAGTGGTGTACAGATAATGGGTGATAGGCAGAGGGGGCAACGCCCCCGGCATCCCAGTACAGGTTGAATTCAATCACAGAGTGAAATTAATTTATCTTTTTTAATTTGAAATTATCGCTGATTACTCTTACCTTTGTTGTACAGGCTGTCCCACTTAATTTATGTCTTATACTTGAATCGTGGGGGCACACAATCAAGGAATTGGCCAAGGGCATCATCAAACCTCTGTAGCCATTGGATAGCGGTGTTTCCGTTTAATCTTCTTCAAATTCTAACGGTCAAAGGTCCTTCTTTTCTTCTTTCACGTACACGAGAATGAAAAGTCGCTTTTGTGGGACAGTTGAGAGGGTAAAAGATAAAAGCTGAAGCCCATTGCAGATTTCGTCATATAACAAAATGTAAATAGGATTAGGGCACGTGATTGTTGATGGTTATGGTTAGCCCTATTCCTAACCATAATATTTACATCTTGTGACTTATGACGAAATCTGCAACGAGCCTTAGCTTGTAATCCTAACACATTTGAGAGGGCTTGCGAAGTCGTGATATCTTATTAATCCGTATATATTTATGATATACGTCCTACGATATTTCATGTCAATAGATATTGGTTTTTAAAAGTGAAACTTACTTATATGGTCTTTTCCTCCAACACAAAAACCCGGAAAAAAGTCTTTAGCTCCAAGACTCTTAAGATCTTGAACCACGAACGGCCATAAACTAAGGACGTTGTTTCTTGTAATATCTTCTCGTCTTTCTACTACTACTGCCTTACCACCCATGAGAGCTATTTCTATAGCTGACCGTAAACCACATGGACCAGCTCCAATAATTAATGCCTTCAAATACAAAAATAATGTAGACAATGACAAGCATTATTTTGAAAAAAAAAATCTACCGACGAAACTCTGAACCACTGTGCTGAACTCGTATTTTCGAATTCAAAGTTTTCAATCGGGTTTGATAAATAATCGGGTTTGAAAGTAGTGGGAAAAATAGTTGGGAAGGTCGGATGGTCCTAGAATGTTTCCATTTTCCTTTGATTAGCAATTTGTATTTTATTTAAATTAATTACAAAGTAAAACATAATAACATAATAATACTATATTACCAAACCTTCACAGTACCCTACCACATTAGCCTGTTTTTTTATTCAGCTATGTAAATGTACCATAATTAGGATTTCGAAATACACCCACCTTCAAATTTGTGCATGCCGCTTTATCTTCATAAATCTGTTGTGAAACTCTAAGGTCTAATTTTTCCCAAAGCGCTCTAGCACGCCAAGTGTTGACTTTATTTTTAATATTTGAATATACATTACGATTGTCTTTAAGGTCCACGTCAATTAATCCACTTAATATTTTAAATAAGCGTATTGTATCTTTAAGTGATTCACATCTTACAAATTTATCGAAGCACGTCGATAAATTTGCTTCCTCTGGATTCAAAGTTTCCTTTTGTTCCATGGGCGTTTATTCCTGAAATCACATTGTATTGGCATTGAAGCAGAGGTAGAGAAAGGGGTATTGCTCACAATTTTAAGGCTCTGTTGCGTTTTAATCAAAACAGGTAATTCATATCCAGTGCTATCGGAAAGAGGGGGTTGTGGTGGACGTCATAAAACCGACATAATGTAGAGGCCTACATCGTTATGACGGTACGTCTCGCTTCAAAACTGTATAAAAAAAACCTTATAAATGTAAATGTTTTCAGACACAAAAACATGTAGTCTATGACAAGCATTATTTAGAAAAACAGATTTCCCGACGAAAAACAAAAATCAACCCTTTTCCCTTACATATACGTATATATGTCAAAACAGAATTACTACAAACATTTGGTGACTTCCGATCGACTTATGCTAATGTTCAGTTAGTTCAGCTCTGAACGTAGGTCTCATTACACTCGACCTCTACGTTCAGGGACCCTTCTATTGTATCCTTGTCGACCAGATTTGGTTTCCCAGTCAATTTTACTGGGCAACTTTTTACTGCTAAACGGTCGTTACCCTTTCAATGATGTCCGCCAAGTCGGTTAGAAGACGGAGACGTATTTTTTTAACAGCGTGTTGTGTCGCTCATACTGACTCTAGCCAGGTAAGCAAGGTCTTATTTTCTCACTAAGATGTTCATTTATATTGTTCAGGCGTTCACAGGGACTGACACGCGACCGTTTAGCAGTAAAAAGTTGCCCAGTAAAATTGACTGGGAAACCAAATCTGGTCGACAAGGATACAATAGAAGGGTCCCTGAACGTAGAGGTCGAGTGTAATGAGACCTACGTTCAGAGCTGAACTAATGTTCAGTCAGACCTCTTATTTATTGGTACATGTGGTACCCGTTAGTTTTTATCATCCGAATCCGAAGGACTATATAGAGGGCTGTTTATATATTTGTATATATATACACACATACACGCTTTATATTAAGCACTGGGGTATTATATAATGCCATACAGACATAAACTTACCTTATTCTTATAGTGAAAGAGAACTCCTCATTCAGTAGATTTCAGAGATCCTGTGTGTGAACCTTGTGTATACCTTTCGCATCTGAATCGTAATAGTAATACGGTTAATCTCATCACAAGTTGGGGTAGCTTTTTATAGTCGTCCCACTGTTAGCAGCGTCCCTATATAAGGTTGTCAGATCTTAACAATAAAAAAAAAGTATATAATGAGCAATATTCTATAATAGATATCTGACAATTTTTATTTAGATAGTGTACACATTGCCTTATACGTCAGTATATTTATTCACGTAGACTTGCCAATGACCCAATTGCCCATATATGGAAAATAGTAATTCCTGAATGCTAAAGTTGCGTTGTAAACTGCCTGTATTTATTTGCTTAGGTAGTTTAGTATCCAATATGGTAATAATTGTTCAAGCGGCGATCTTCGCCTTGATTCGTTAATTTGGAAAATAGATATTCGCCTGTATCGAGAATAACAGCTTAAGGGACATAACTCCATTTAAGGGCCGATTATTCGAGCTAAGACTAGTCAGCCTTTCCTAATTGACTTCAACGTTAAAACCATGCATTTTCTTGGCCTATAACATTTTTTGAACATTCAGGATACGCCCACATTTTGCAAGAGATGGATAGAGAACAAGCTAAAACAAAAAGCGATTTTTCATGCAATCAAGGGCCATAATTCAGGAAGTTACGATCCGATATGCGCGAATATCGACAGGAACCAAGATCTTTGGGTTATAAAGATATATTTCAAGTTTCATCAAAATCGGCGGATCAAAATTGTGACTTCTAGAGGGTCCACAACCTTGATATACCATATATTTACATTATTTGTGTATGAGAGGCAGCCATTTTGTCCGGCAGTTTTGGTCTGATTTTCACGAAATTCGAACTCAGTCGTCATTAGGGTGTAACGGTGAAGTATACAAACATTTTTTAATCGGATAAAAATTGTGACCTCTAGAGGGATCACAAGCTAAAAACGCAATTTTTCGTACAATCAAGGGCCATAATTCAGGAAGTTATGATCCGATATGCACGAATATCAAAAGGAACCAAGATCTTTGGGTTATAAACACGTATTTTAAGATTCATCAAAATCGGATCCAAATTGTGACCACTAGAGGGTCCACAACCTTGATATACCATATAATTTACACTATTTGCGAACGAGGGCCGACCATTTTATCTGGCAGTTTTGGTCCGATTTTTACGAAATTTTGAGCTCAACCATCATTACGGTGTAACGTTGATATATTCAAACGTTTTTTTTTTAAATCGGATAAAAAATGTTACCTCTGGAGGGACCACAAGCTAAAAATGTGATTTTTCGTACAATCAGGGGCCATAATTCAGGAAGTTACCATCCGATAAGCGGAAATATCGACAGGAACCAAGATCTTTGGGTTATAAACATGCATTTCAAGTTCCATCAAAATCAGATGAAAATTGTGACCTCTAGAGTGTCTACAAGCTAAAAACCTGATTTTTCAAACAATCAAGGGCCATAATCCATGATGTTATGGTCTGATATATGCCAATATCGAAAGGAACCGAGATCTTTGGGAGATAGACCTATATTTTAAGTTTCGTCAAAATCAAAAAAAAAATTGTGACCAGTAGAGAGTCTACAAACAAATTGTGGACGGACAGGGGCGACGACAATATACGTCCACATAAAAATGTGGGCGTATAAAAATATTGAAAGGGGTTGACCATCTTGAATCTATAGGCTGTGATCTATAGGCTGTGATGACATTTTCGTAAGTGATTTCCCAAATTAATATCTGTTCACCTCCTGGTGCTTCTGCAACTCAGTCACAATTATCCACCAAAACATGGTAGAAAATTTAAATTTATTCACCCCTCTTCAATTCTAGACCAAAACGTCAACAGAAATTGCCACACAAAAGTGGAGAGAGGGAGGAATAATTGTTATAAAAAGACGAACTACATCAGGGGAAGCAATTACTAGCTCCATACAGCAGGCAGACAACCAAATATTCTCCTATTGACTTGCTAATTCTTGTCTCTTTGCCAGGCTCTAACCTTTTCCAAATTTTCGTTGGGCTGAACCCACTCTACCACAAAGGGAGCAACATCTTGATCTTTTAATAAATGAGGATGGATATATTAGAATTCAAGTAAGATTAAATTCTCATACTTCTACAAAGAAACTACAATTATGAGCTATAATCCGGCAGAAAATCTAAATTCAAACACTCTAGACTTCAAAAACTAAACAAAAAGTCACACAAAGAAAAAAAAGAAAAAAACAAAATAGTGAGTGAACTGTGACTCTCATTAGAGTCGAGAACTTCACTTGGATCACAATATGTGCATTTTTTCCAAATCTAGTTCATCTATTTATTTTTTATGCTATTCCTACTATGGTTCATTTAAAGACGTAAAACACTGTTTAGGATTTTCTAATTTTTACTCTTACTTTATTCACATTACCTTAAATAATTTCAAAATATAGCAATCATATTTTAGTCTATAAATCTATAAAAACATTAAGAAAACTTTGCATATAAACAAAGTGTATAACTTTTCTTGTCAGGAAGAAAACAAGTTTGATCTCAGTTTTTTCATCCAGGTTACTGTAATCATAGGTTAATATACTGTTTATTTTGTGAAAAGTCTTCTTCATCTATAACAATATAAATCTTTAGCACTGTTCTTTGTTTCTTCCACACAAAGCTTTTAAAAATAAACTCTTTCATTCTAAGAATTTCTAATACAGCTCAAGAAAATGGATTCAGATGACTAAATAATGATGTAAATCCAGCTCAGTCATCCCGCCTGATTCTGTAGGATTTTAATGAAACATTTAAAATATTATAGTCTTGTCATATTCTACATTCAAAATTCTTATCCATTATCTTCTTTTCCTGAAAACATAAAGCATGTCAATATTGAAATCTTTACCTTCATATATATGGAAAGAGAGAGAGAAATGGGGTTTAACGTCCACTCAACACAAACTAGGTCATTTCGGGACTAACATATGGTTTAATTTTATTTCAATAATTCGCTTGAGCGTAGGGGTCTTTAGCAGTGGGAGGACTCGGAAAAAACCCACGAAGTTGGACAGGCGACCCTACTCCTTGTCACGTACAACCGGGGATTCGAAACCACGCCAGTTGATTCAATGACAACAGGCCTTATGATACAGCACGCACTTGCTAACCAATCGACCATCCACCCCCCCCCCCTCTCATATATACGGATTACATGGTCAATTATAGTCTCTGATAATCATTTGAGTGATTTTAAATCGTTTGTAATCTACACCTATAATATCCACTACAATATTTTGATGCACCTCTTTTTAATCCCACTGAATCCAAGCTATGCATGCTGTAATATTTTTTGATACAATAATCAAATATATTTCATTTTATGGCTTTTTTCCAAAATTATGAATAACCCTGTTGGTGTACAAAAATTGTCTTTGACCCTTGAGGTTTAGAGCCCTTGACACACCAATGATATCAACATCGAGCAAATCACCACAATTGTGGACCCATAAGTGAGATACAAACCATATTTAGAAAACTTCAGGTATTTCTGTAGGTAAAGATTTATGTGGGATCTCATTCATCCTACTCACATACGGGTACATCGTCAGGTTTCCCTGGTCTTTATTGTATTACACAACAAGTAATTGACAATACACAAAGGTTAAGAATACCAACCATGTAGGTTTCTTTCTAGCTCCTGGTTGACCAGGCTTCTTTCTTTCTCTAGTTCTTGGATCTTTTGTTAATAACCCAGCTAAAAAATAGAATCAAATTTCAAATGAAATGGGGTTTACAGTCCTACTGTTCTGCACCGACTAGAGCTAACCATCAACATGCATTACATTGTGCATCAGGACCTTGGTTTTTTGTACCATCAGAACAACTAGACACTGTCCTTGTCAGGCCCTCAGTCCTGTACCACTGACAAGAGGGAACCACCCCGGAGAGAGAGAGAGATAGAGAGAAAGAGAGAGAGAGACTACAATACAATACAAACGAGGTCATTTTGGGACTAACATATGGTTCAATTTTATTTCATTAATTTGCTTGCACGTAGTGGTCTTTAGCAGTGGGAGAAAACTGGAGGACCAGGAGAAAACCCACAAGGTTGGACTAGCAACCCTAGTCCTTGTCAGTAGAGAATCGAAACCCTGCCATTTGTCTCAATGACAGACCTTGATGCAACACGCATGTGTTAACTATTTGGTCACCCCCCCCCCCCCCCACATAAATGGAATGAAACTGGCCATAGGTGTATACCATCCTTAAGGCAACAATAATTCTATACAAATTAATTAAAAATTCTAACAGTTTAAGCTCTGGTACTTGCAATATTCTTGAATAATTCCCATTGTTTATATCAATTTAGAAAATAGGGTTTACAAACAATGTTTGAGAAATGTAGAGGTTTGTAAGATTCAATTAGCTTGTAGATGATTGATTATAATGTAGTATATTTAACTCTATGAAAAGACAGCATGTGTTTGCTTTTTTATAAATTAATAAAATATTCTACTTTAATGCCTGTCACTGTCACATAAAAATTTAAAAAGTCACATAATACAGATTTTAAGCTGTATGCATAGAACTTGTCTTGATCCATCTCATTTAGCAACAACTGATCACCAATATCCTCATCATACTCACCTAATCTTAGTCGTTCTATGGAATCAGTATCAACAAAACTACATAGAGCATGAGCTAACGCTAATCTAACAGCTCCTGTCTGACCTGATGATCCCCCACCATCAACTGTAGCTACTATATCAACTTTATCTATCTTATTGACTAATTGTAGAGGAAATAATAACTGTTCTCTGAAATAAAATGACAATATCTTCATTTAAAATTCAGATCTCATGGCAGTTAATTCTTTTTTTATGAATATGAATATCTTTAACGTAGGCTAAATCCAACTATCCATTTATTCTTTATGGTACAGTAGTTTAATCATTATTTCTACTTACCTTTGATGAATATCTTTAAAGTAGGATAAATCCTGACCATTGATACTAATCTGTCCCGATCCATTATTATATACAGTTATATTAGCATTTGATGTTTTTCTTCTTCCTATAACACAAATATTTTTTTCAAAACTATAGAAAGTAGACCAATGTTTTTACACTTATTAATTCGTTTAACAAATATAAAGAATAACGGTATTTCCTCAATATGAAGTATCAAAATGCACATTAATTTGTTGTCTTACATATGTTGTACATATTTAACACTATTGATATTTATGATTGATGACTGTTAGGACAAGGCTAATATTATTTGGACAGTTGGTAGGTGTGGTGTACAAGTTAAGACAATGCAAGAGAGAGAGAGATATGCTCAGATCACTTTTTTAATATAGGAAGTATAGTTTAATAAGTTTATTTTGAAACCCCAGTCTGAGTACTCTCTACTCTCCAACCCAATTAAGCCTCAGGTATTTTGGTACCTATCATCGTTATTAATAGTTGCTGATAAACCATGTAACTAAATCCAAATAGACTGTCAACTTACCAGAAGCTTCACTATATTCTCTACCATCACTATCAATTAATGGCTGAAAATAAAATATCCCACTGAGAACTTTGTCCTGTATCACTTCATAAGCTTTCAAATTCAAAATGTGAACATTAACACCACAAAACGTATTTGAAACCAGCAGTTGACAGGCAAGATACGCCCACATTTTGCAAGAAATGGATAGAGAACAAGCTAAAAACAAAAGTGATTTTTTATACTATCAGGGACCACAAGCTAAAAACGTGATTTTTCTTACAATCAAGGGCCATAATTCAGGAAGTTATGATTCTATATGTGCAAATATCGAAAGGAATCAAAATCTTTGGGTTATAAACATGCATTTCAAGTTTCATCAAAATCCGATGAAAATCGTACAATCAGGGGCCATAATCCATGAAGTTATGGTCTGATACATGCCAATATCGAACGGAGGGACGGACAGGGGCGACGGCATAAAACGTCCACATGAAAATGTGGGTGTATAAAAATTGTGACCTCTTGAGGGTCCACAACCTTGATATTACATACTTTTACACTATTTGCATACAAGGGGAGGTCATTTTGTTGGGCAGTTTTGGTTCGATTTCCATGAAATTTTAACTCAAACATCGTTAGGGTCATCCGCGGTATCCCCAGTAATTTCATTCAGTTATACTCCACTAACCCCTGGGTTAATCTATGGGGGAGACAAGTTTTCAAGTTATCCGCCCTTGCTGATTGTGCTATTTTTACCGACCAATCCCATAAATTGTTATTTGAAATGGAAGTTGGCTAAGAGAAGTGACTTTCATCGAACAATGTTAGGAGTTGACCTATTCTCAATGCGTAATTATTAACAAACAATTATATATTATGTTAATGAAGATCAGACGTTCATATAATGTAGGCCATTAGTTTTATTGAGAATCGTTCGTTCGTTCCCGGCATTTTATGTCCACGTGATATTGTAGTTATGTTATTGAGAATTAAATTGCCAAGTTTAAGTTCAATAATAATAAACATAACAGAATGACGTATTTCAGACAAAGAAGGAATAGTAATAATAATAAAACTCAAAAATATAGATGTTGTACATATTTGAAATCAGCAACACATACTACAGATTTTGATAATATAATTAAATATAAATAAATTAGAAATATATACATTATTTACACAAATCATTCAGTAAATCGACAGGCACATGGTTATCTACCCTTATAAAAACGAATGTGAAACGATTGGTTTGTAAACTGTTTTCTGATTGGTTCGTAGACTGTAGCTACATTCTAGGCCAGGGCATATAATTTGTAATCATGGAAACCCTATGGATTAACCTAGGGTATAGTGGAGTAGAACGGAATGAGGCCACTGGGGAAACCTAGGATGCATTAGGGCATAACAGTGATATATTTAAATGATTTTTACAATTGGATAGAAATTGTGACTTCTGAAGGGTCCACAAGCTAAAATCACGATTTTTTTGTACAATCAGGGGTCCAGAAAGTTACAGTCAAAAATGCCCAAATATCGAAATTGGATAAAAATTGTGACCTCTAGAGGGACCACAAGCTAAAAATGCAATGTTTTGTGCAATCAGGGGACATAATCTAGAAAGTTATGGTCCGATATGCGCGAATATTGAAAGGAATTGAGATCGAGTTATAAACATATATTTCAAAATTTAAAGTTTCATCAAAATTGTATACAAATTGTGACATCTAGAGTGTCCTGACGCTAAATCAAATAAAAATTGTGACCTGTAGACTGTCCACAAACAATTGTGGACAGACAGGGGCTACGACAATATACGTCCACATGAAAATGTGGGCGTATAAAAAGGGTAAAAAATCCTAATCTTTGAAAAAGCTTTTCAAAAATTTGCTAAAGGAAAGCAGAAGTTGTGTTTTAATTTTATTGTACATAATTGTTCTCTGTCTGAGAAATAAGATTGTTACATAATTGTTGTCTGTCTGTGAAATATAGTTGTGCGTTATAAAAATATGCAATAATAATATTACAATGGGTTTATCATTCATTTTTGGCAGATAAAATATTGTATTTCACATAAAAAATTATGGTGAGATTTCAGAAACAAATCCTGACCTATTCTGGCAGATAAAAATTGAAAGCCAGTGTGAGCCTTGGTCCATATTTAATGTGTCTGTTAGAAAAAGAAATTGGACATATATGATAAATTCAATAAACCCACCTTTTCAATGCTTCTAAATTGGGACATTGTCATTACTTTCTTTGAATATTTCAATAAAAATTCTTCTTCTTTATAAGACAATTTGTGCTTTAACAACCGATCCAAAACTAGAACAAAACGGTTATACTGCAAAAAAAACCCAAAAAGCCTTTAGTGAAAAGATATAAAACTTCAAACAGAGAAGAGATGTGGACAGGAAAAGCAGCCATTAGTCCTTCTTGCCAATCTGTCAGTTGGACACAAACATGATCATTTTTATTTCTATGATTATGCGTGCAATGTGAGGTTAGAGATTTTCAACCAGACAGTATGATGTTTCTGCTTACTCATTATTGATTTCCAGCTGTCAAGGGTTCTTTTGCGGGCAAACCAATGTGTGCATTTGTCGACTTCTGTTTTTGTCCCATCCGAATTACTAGACATGCTTGAAAATTCCTGAAGGTGGATAACAGAGATTAAAAAGAACCCCAGAGTGCCTTCTGGCAGTACAGGCCAATCTCTAGCATCCTAAGATTATTCTATTTAATATATCAACTTACTTCTTGTGGACTAATTTCCTCTATTAATAGTTTTGTTAATGTTTTATGGTCAATCCACTGAAAGCCATGAAGAAATCTACAAAATATATAACCATATATAACACTGATTATTCAATCAATAAAAAAAAACTCTTAGACAAATTATTTCAATATGATGATTCATGAAATACAATTTCTTTACGAAATACTGGAAAAGCCATTACTTGATCTTCCATCTACATAACAAAAGACAGCAACACACAGATCCCAATGAGCCACGCCAAACTTTTAAAAAAATCCATTCTAAACTGCAGCCTATATCATATCGCACCAATTAAGAAAAAAATTTAATTTTGTTCACTAGGGGGATACTCGACTGAACGTTCCGGAATTAAATTCTCTCAATTCCGAAAATAGTGTCAATCGAGTGAAAAGGAGAATTTCGGAGTACAGCAGATGTGCCGACTGCATAAAAAAATATCTCAACCAATCATGGCAGCTGGAACATATTTGTTACTTAAAATACGTCATAATTCTACTCACACCACCTCTGTCGGACTGGCAGAACTGTGACAGGACTGAATTCCATATCACTTGATTGCAATTCAATACGTTCCGGTCTGACAATCGAGCACCACCATAGTATTCTGAAGATGGGACGTTATTCCCAAACAGAAGGTCGCATAACGCTGTAAACTGATAGGGTTTGTATTGTTGACGGACAGGGGTGACAACATAAAACATACATACAGAAATGTGGGCGTATGAAGTCAGCTATATATATCACAGTACAGTGCACTCTGTCACATCCGACACCATTTTCATGTCCCGATTTATTTCCTTATTACTTCAGCCAAAAAATCTCTGGGTAATTCGAACTCTGTACGTTCCGGATTACGACATCAATCAGCCGTCCCGTCATACGATTTCCATTGGATCGACACCGTATAATCCGGCCTTCGATCGGTGGGTGTGAAGCAAACACTTACCGATCAATTATCCGTGAGATTAAAACTGGATGGGTGTGAAGCCACAAAAGATTAACAAGCAATCACCAATCAATTATCTGTGAGATTAAAACTCGCTACCGTGGGTCTTTGTTGATTACTTTGATAATTTTAATCTCTTGTATGACAGTTGTGACAAATACTCAAGGATATCAAAGAATTTCCCCCCGAATTCACAATCGTAAAAATATTCCTAGCACCTGTTGGAAACATTTGTTGCGCATGCACCCTACGGATCTCTTTGAACCGTGTGACGACGACCTGGGGATGCTCGATTCACAGTCCGGAACGTCCCGAATTGACAGAATTGCAATCAAGTGACGCGGAATTCAGTCCTGTCACAGTTCTGTCAGTCCCGACGACGGAGGTTTGAGTAGAATTGTGATGTAATTTTCACCCAATTGTCACTATTTTTCGGGATTGAGAGAATTCAATTCCGGAACGTACAATAGCAAAGACAAGAGTTGGATCATCTGAAGACGGCGAAGAAGATAAATTAACGAGACTTGACCTAGTCACTATTTTTGGGATTGAGAGAATTCAATTCCGGAACGTTCAATCGAGTACGCCCATTATCAATGAACACGTGATAGCAAAGACGAGACTTTGATCAACTGAAGACGGCGAAGAAGATAAATTAACGACAGACTTGACCTATTCAAAATGCCTACGCATGTTAAATGAAATAAAAATTAATGTAATACAATTTTGAATATACAGAAAGGTTTATCATTTTTAAAGGGAATAACATTCTGGTGATTCGAAGTTCTATGTTCGAAGCTACATTATAATAATACTTCCGGGTTTCGAAGTTACAATATTTCCGGTTTTGCGAAAACTGGGTATTCCGACACTCTGCGTAATTCGACATATTGTAACAATCCCGTAGGATGTCGGATGTGACAGAGTGCACTGTATATATATCTATCATGTACATGTACATCTATCAGACCCATTGGAAAAAAAGTCAGGCAGTCTGGAAAAAGTAAATTTACCCTGCCTCTTGCACAACTAGTAGCTGTAAGGCCAAATCCAGATAAAGTTTATGAGGAAGCTATAATATCCCAACAAAATAAACAATACATAATAACATAACTATGTGTAAAGAGCAATTCTTCCACATCACATGGCAAACAACTCACAGTTTTTTGTCATCTTCCTCTGCCATTTTACCATTTTTGTACAATTCTGTTTCTGCAGCATTTAGATTTTCGTATTTCATATTTATATCCTAATATAAAGGGTAAATATAATTTATCTTTCTATTTTACTATTACATACTAAAAATGTAATTTAATTTTATCATCATACTAAAGATTCGAGGTAAAGTGCTTAAATACAAGGGGGTTGGGTGACCAAGTGGTCTAGTATGTGCTTTAGAATATACATGTAAAAATGTCATTAGTCAAGTGACATAGTTTCCATCCCTGGCTTGTGGTCACAAAGTAATAAACACTACGCACATGTGAATTATTAACCTAGCTAGAATTGAGTTGATCTGAACCAGAGACTTATACATCCAGTCATGGGAACATACATGAATTAAATGATATATCAAACCCCCCTTTTAGACAATAATTCTGATTTTCTCATAGTACTTACATGTAAAAGACCGTGATAGTTGGGTTTTCCTGTATAAAACTGATAATGATGTGGTCTGCCATCCTTTCCAAATAGTGCCTCTGAAAACAGTGTTATTTCAATATATTATTTGAACAGACATGAACAAAATAATATTATGTTTGTGATTCAACCATTTTTAAAATGTGTTTAAAATATATTCAATGCATAAAGTTACCTTTTCTTCGTGGAAATACTTCATATGGATGCTGAAAAGGAAATCATCTTATAAAATAATGATAGTTTATAAAGTCTGTCAATTAATGTTATATATTGGGCTAACTTTATAAGCTGGATTTCTTGGAAAATTGGGACTGTATACATTCAAGTAAAAATCTATTGTATGGAGCAGAATTCACATCATAATTCTAACTCTTAACCTAGTAATATGTATGCTAATATACTTACTTCAATGCATGCAACTTCTTACTTAAACAACATAGTAGATTGGCTATTTACGTCATGTAAAAATACTAATCAATATGACTTATTTCTTAAATATTACTTACGGTTATTTGTTTACAAACTGGTGACAGTCATCTGGCTATGAGAGAACTAGGGACACCGTTGCTATTTTAGTAATTTCAAAGTAATCGCTCACATACATTAAGACATATGATATTATTTCTCCTATAATTATATTTGTGTTCTTCGCTAGGACAACATATCAATTTAAGGAATGAGTAAGTAAGAGGATACTCAATTGAACGTTAAGGAACCAACTTCTCAATCCCCCAAATAGTGACACACAAATGAAAAGGTGGAACACTGGCTACAATGCATGCCCAGGTTGCAAAAAATACATATCTCAACCAACTATGACAACTGAAATATATTTGTTGTGTCTTATTACGTCACGATTCTACTCACACCACCTCTATTGTCGGGACAGGACCAAATTCCTCATCACACGATTGCAATTCTGTCAATTCGGGACGTTCCGGACTGACAATCGAGCATCCCACTGTTCTATCAATTCAAATCTCACCTTCATTTGTGGTCTAGCTCTTTTTTCAAATAATCCAGATGGTAAAAGATACTGGATGGCTCTCTAAAAATAGATACAAACATTTATGTTAAGTGTATCAGTTTACAAGCAGCTGTATTTAACTAATAAAGATTTTAATAATGTGTGTTTGTTCAATCTAAGCAAGTGATTCAACAATGCAAAATGAAAACATTTCTAAGGTTAGGTTGTCTGGCAACAAAACATACGCCTAAAGCTGCCAAGTCATTCAGGCAATCAACAAGTGTTGTCGCATATTTTTTTCTTTTGTCAGTAATGAGAACATTTACAACACATGAAAATCTGATTACGAGTAATAACCCATGAAGTAATTATCAGAAAACATTAGAATTTGTTTCGATTGTTTGTCTCATGACCTTAAACAATTTATATTAACTTTAGCCTCTAGAGTGAATGAATGAATGAAATGGAGTTTTAGCCTCTAGCGCGTCCACAAGATTTTCAAAGTGATCAAGGGCCTTAACTGGGCAGGAGTTATCGGAAATCGTTGAAAATGAATAAGATTCTTTGTCTCATGACCTTAAACACTGTGTATAAGTTTAAAATTAATCAGGTATTAACTTTAGCCTCAAGAGCTTCTACAAGATTTTTTCAAGGAAAATCAATAGGCTTTTTCGTCTCATGACCTGAAACAGTGCGTATAAATTTAAAGTCAATCAGATATTAACTTTAGCCTCGAGAGTGTCAAGAAGAGATTTTAAAGAGATAAGTGCCATAATTCTGGCAGTAATTATTGAAAATCGCTGATAACCAATAGGATTCTTTATCCCATGACCTTAAACACTGTGTATAAATTTAAAATCAATCAGATATAAACTTTAGGTTCTAGAGCATCCACAAGATTTTTCAAAGTGTTCAAGGGCCATACCTCTGGTAGTAATTATCGGAAATCGCTGAAAATCAATAAGCTTCTTCGTGCCATGACCTTAAATACTGTGTATAAATTTAAAGTCAATCGGACGGATGGACAAGGGCAACGACAATGTGGGCGTATTAAAAGTAATCCAACATGAATTACTCACATCTATATCATCTTGATTAAAGGAATCAGGATCTTCTCCCATAATATTAGCTAAATGTCTTTTACCAATTTCATATTCCTCTATTTCTTTGTCAATCATAGAATCTGCATAAAAATGATATATGCCAGTTCATTAACCTGTGAGAAAGGCATTTTTTTTTCAACGCCAGCTATAGTATAAAGAGAGAGAGAGAGAAATGGGGTTTAACCTCCACTTGAAACAAACTAGGTCATTTTGGGACTAACATATGGTTTAATTTTATTTCAATAATTCGCTTGCGCGTAGGGGTCTTTAGCAGTGGGTGGAAACCGGAGGACCCGGAGAAATATAGTACTATAAAGAGGCAGTGAAATACCCTGTACATCAATTTTTCAGCAGGATAACCGAGATGAAAATAATTTAGACAAGATTATAACATGATCATGGTCAAAACTATTTACCAAAAAACATAGCTTTGTCAGGCAGCATTACCAGCAGAATTTTGAAGAGTATCAAGAATGTCATGTTGCTAAATATAAAACTATTTTAAAAAATAACAAATATACTATTATATAATCTGACAACTATATGACCCTTTTTGGTTGACATTTTGGTGATCTAGCAGTGTGCCAAACAAATATCTAAACAAGCACTTGCCATGCAAGATACAGCAAAGTTTTGCAAGAGATGGACAGAAAACAAGCTAAACAAGCCAATAGTGAGACTGATGTCCCCCGTCGAATCCCAAAATAAGCAGATGAAACATATTAATTATTTGCACATTTATCTTTTTCAAAAGTATCAAGTAATCAAACCGATTATCTATGCTTAGTATAAGCATAAAATGTTCACGATCAAACTTGGTCAGGTTTCGAAGTACCTAGTAGTGAAACTATACACTAAGTTTCATAACTCTCCATCAGTTAGAATCAAAGTTATCTTGTCCCAAAGCATCAACCAATGAAATTGCTTAGGTCTGCTTAGCTTTAATGGCAAATATAAACACAAAATCAGATCCAAATTGTGACCTCTAGTGTGTCCACAACCTTGATATTACATACGTTAACACTATTTGTGTACATAGAGCAGCCATTTTTTGCAGCAGTTTCGAACTCAATGGTCATTATGGTGTAACAGTAATATATTTGAACGTTTTTTTAAATCAGATAAAAATTGTGACCTCTAGGAGGACCACAAGCTAAAAACGTGATTTTCACCATAATCCAGGAAGTTGAGGTCTGATATGGATATGTGCAAATATCGAAAGGAACCGAGGTCTTTGGGTTATAAACATACATTTCAAGTTTCTTCTAAATCGGATAAAATTTGTGACCTCTATAGAGTGTACACAGCTAAAAATGTGATTTTTTGTACAATCAGGAGCCATAATCCATGAAGTTTTGATCCAATACCGATACATGCCAATGTTTCAAGATTCGTCAGAATCAGATAAGAATTGTGACCTGTAGAGTGTCCACAGCTAAAGATGTGATTTTTCGTACAATCAGGGGCCATAATTCATGAAGTTTTGATCCGATACATGCCAATATTTCAAGATTTGTCAAAATCGGATAAGAATTGTGACCTGTTGATTGTCCACAAACAAATCTTGGCCGGATGGACGGACGGACAGGAGAGACAACAATATATGTCAACATGAAAATGTGGGCATATAAAAATACTAATACTGTGTGTCTACATGACTTTGGTGACACCACATAAATTGATTTGAATCTCAAATATTTTGACCCATACACAGTTTACAAGAATTGTGGATGAACGGACAGACAATATACTCCCACACCAGCCGCTGCCAGTCAGGATACGCCCACATTTTGCAAAAGATGGATAGAGAACAAGCTAAAAACAAAAACGATTTTTTGTACAATCAGGGGCAATAATCCAGGAAGTTATGGTCTGAAATGTGCAAATATCAAAAGGGACTGCGATCTTTGGGATATAAAAATATGTTTTAAGTTTCATCAGAATCGGATAAATATTGTGACCTCTAGAGGGTCCACAACCTTCGTATAGCATACTTTTACACAATTTGCGTACAAAGAGCGGCCATTTTGTCGGGCAGTTTCATTTCGATTTTGACTAAATTCGAATTCAACCTTCATAATGGTGGAATGGTGAAATATTTAAAGGCTCAATACCACTCTTGTTGTAACTGAATAATATGTCCCAATCTTTATTCTGGTCAACAAATTGTACTATTTTACAATATTCCAATTAATTGATAATACAAATTTCATCTTAACACACCTAATTTAAAAAATTGGAAAAATTCAACTAAATGATTTGAAAAGCAAGCTAAAAATGTGACTTTTTGTACATTTAAGGAAGTTACGATCCGATATGCGCGATTATCGAAAGGAACCAAGATCTTTGGGTTATAAACATGTATTTCAACTCTCATCAAAATCGGATAAAAATTGTGACCTCTAGAGGGTCCACAAGCTTGATATACCAGATGCTATACACTATTTGTGTACAAGGAGCGGCCATTCTGTCGGGCAGTTTTGAGGCGATTTTCACGAAATTCGAACTCAACTATCCTTAGGGAGTAACGGTTATATACTAAAACATTTTTTTAAATCTGATAAAAATTATGACCTCTATAGGGTCCACAATCAGGGGCCATAATTCAGGAAGTTATGATCCGATATACGTGAATATCGAACGGGACCAAGATCTTTGGGTTATAAACTTTCATTTCAAGTTTCAACAAAATCAGATAAAAATTGTGACCTCTATAGGGTCCACAAGCTAAAAATGCGATTTTTCGTACAATCAGGGGCCATAATCCATTTCGGTCCGATACATGCCAATATCGAAAGCAACCAAGATCTTTTGGAGATAAACCCATATTTCAAGTTTCGTCAAAATCGGATAAGAATTGTGACCTTAGAGTGTCCACAAACAATTGTGGACGGACGGACAGGGGAGGCGACAATATACGTCCACATGAAAATGTGGGTGTATAAAAAAACATTGCTGTATAAAAAGGTAATATTACTATAATTTTTTGCTCTTTCCATATACAATCTCATTGCTTTACTGATCTTTTCAGCTTTATTCTCGGTCTTTTGTTCAAATGTCTCTGGTATGACATCTGATAACAGTCTACAAGATGTATGTACCCCATTCTGAAATGACAAAAACATAATGATACAATCTCCGATTATCAATTGTAGTTTACAAATTCACGATCTACCCAATACATCGATCAGACAAATCTACACATCAACGGAGTTAATAATACATACAAATGATAAAATGATATTGAGACAAATAGTATAAGTATAACAGTGTTGATCAGAATCAATGTACAGGATTACTCACAGTATTCAGTCTAATTTCATCAGTATTTGGTTGAAATCATGTTTGCTTTCTGTGCTACCGCTACTGCTTTGAAGTAGTAGTTTGTAGACAGTTCTTTACAGATGTCTTCTCGGCATTGCCAAAGTAATTCCAATGTTGGCGGAATTACATAGGATTAGGATCGTGATGATCCAAAACTGACAGGATGAATAATCCCTGAATCGGTATATAATCCAATGTGGTGCTAATCCACAACAGTAATCCTAAACTTGGTTATATCAACAGAGAGATCAAGTCTCTCAAAACAGAACAATGTAAAACAGAGAGATAATTTCTCTCAAAACAGTACCATAAATGCAAGACCATGTTCGTCAAAATGACCATGCTAGAAAGTTTGATCACCTAAAGTAGTAATAAACTATAGATTTCGATGAATCAGCATGACCTTAACACAATAAAGTCAGATATGTAGAAATTATATGAAATGAATGGGATATTCAGATCTGGATCTGAAGGCCTTCATTTAATCAAATACACTATAGGCTTAATCCTTCAGAGAAATAGACAATTATATTTTTGACAGAAACAAAACAGGTCCAGTTATTTTCAAAGATTACTTTTCCAAAAATGTATCTCACTCAGACATTTCAGATAATTCTATTATACATGTATGTTGAAAGTTGTGTCCAAACCAATACCCTCTATCTGTACAACCCCAAAAAATTAGAAATGTAAAGGTTAATGATTCAGTTTTTGAACAGTGTAAAAATAAATGTCCGGGTTGGAATCTGTGTAAACATTCCCACAAACCTATAAACTGTTGGAGGTTTGGGGGGGGGGGGGGGGGAGGGGGAATGACATAATATTCTTCACTGGCTGTCAAAGAAAGAGTCAAGACAATTCAGACTACTGGCATAGTATACTTAGTCTGAAATGATTAAATTGTAACTCTTTTGGGGGATGGGCAGATTTTTAACTCGGAAATTACACAGGGACCTCTGATACATAAATACTGCAACATATATCTGTGTCGGCTATGTGCGGACTTGAAATAGGCCAAACCAGTCAATAAAATGATTTGTAGTTTAATGTCTTAATTTAACAAAAACAGCAAGTTGTATTTCTTGTACTGTAGATGTAATTTACATCTTCTTTACTGATAAGTCCTACATGTAATTTTTTTTTACTGCAGAAGTATCAAGATCAAGAACCATTAGGGTACCATAATAAAAGATTGGAACTTTTTCCATCACTTTCACTGTTACAATAATTCAGCTCATCTTGTCCAAACTAGGAGATTATGCTAAATATAGCATGACATACATGAACTCCAAGAATACTGTGATTTTTACAGTTACTTAATATGCCTACTTATGTACTTGAAGAAACAAGAGAGAACTTTACTATAATACAGCAGAAAATGCTCATATTATCGAATTTAGTCAAGCCAAGGTCTTGATGTAATGAAACTATACATCAAGTTTCATCACTCTCAGGGGTTGGATGGCCGAATGGTTAGCATGTGCGTGCTGTATCAAAAGGCCTGTCATTGAGTCAACTGACATGGTTTCGAATCCCTGGTTGTACGTGACAAGGAGTAGGGTCGCCTATCCAACCCTGTGGGTTTTCTCTGGGTCCTCCGGTTTCCTCCCACTGCTAAAGACGCCTACGCGCAAGCGAATTATTGAAATAAAATTGAACCATATGTTAGTCCCGAAATGACCTAATTTGTGTCGAGTGGACATTAAACCCCATTTCTCTCTCTCTCTTTCATCACTCTCACTTAATTAGAATTAAAGTTATCGTGTCCCAAAGCATAAACCAATCAAATTGCTTATCTCTGCTTACCCTAAGCAGAAAATGCTCATCTTTGAAATCCATATGATCAATCAAGGCATTGAATTGATTGAGTTGACCTAACAAGTTTGAACATTCTAGCTCAATTAGAAAAAGAGTTATTGTGTCCTAAAAAGTGTGACGGACAGACGGACGAACCCATTTTAATAGTCCCCTGCTTTCTTTGAAAGGCGGGGGCCAATAAAAAAAAAAATAATAATATTATTATGATTATGGATTATGATGATGTAAATTGTGAATCAATGATTGGCGTCTTAGGATTTTGAAATTAGGTTGCAATGCAGTCGAATTTCACACCTAGTTCAGTACGTACCTTATGTCTATCTAATGCACTAGGCCTACACTTTGTAATTTGCCATCGTAAAAATTCTTTTATTGGATGTTTTGAGCAAACTTTGCTAAAAGTCCGCATGGATACCGCCATGTTGACAGGGAGCAGTTAGTTATATATTGAGTTTTTGAATTCCATTTATCTGGTATGGTTCAGAAATGAAAATAAAATTTAGCACATGTTTGTAATATTCTATACAAAACATTAATAAGATATAGATATTAGACATATCAAATTGGTTTTCAAAAACATTTTCTTGATTCATTTATTGATCAAACCTACTGCAATTAATGCTCTAAATGCAGTTATCTCCCATGGTATGTTTTACGGTTTTTCTTTCGCGCATTGACTTTGGTACCGCTACTATCGTATCTTCACGCTGAAAATAAATCTAGAACCGATTAACTGTTTAGTTGTTAAATTATTGTAAACAATTTTTTACAAATATTTTAATATTCACCTTTATTTTATAATATTTATTCCATCCTTTCGTCAAACATGCACGTAATTGTTTGAATGTAGGCTAGAACGATAACTCTTGATGTCTTGTTGGCTTTAAGAACCATAGAATATTAACTTATAACTAATTATAATAAGACGACACGAAATAATTCCAATCAGTTAATGTAACCTATGCATGGAACCTATCAGCAATGTTTATATATATACACAGTATCGGATGGGTTGTGGTCTAAAAAAAAATGTTTGGTAATAAAATGTTATAATAATGATTAGGCCCTAATGCTAGCTAATATTAATCTTTATGTTCACTGGCGGTGATCAACCAATTGCCCGCCCGTCCGTTCACATTTTGTTTGTGGACATTCTACAGGTCACAATTTTATCCGATTTTGACGAAACTTGAAATATAAGTGTATCTCCCAAAGATCTCGGTTTCTTTCGATATTCACGCATATCGGATCGTAACTTCCTGGATTTTTGTCCTTGATTGTATGAAATATAAGGTTTTTAACTTTTGGACACTCTAGAGGTCACAATTTTTATTTTTATTTTTTATTTTGATGAAACGTAAAATGTATGTTTACAAACCAAGACCTCGGTTTCTTTCGATATTCGCGCATCGAGCTGTAACTTCATGGATTATGGCCCCTGTTGTACGAAACATCGCGTTGTTTAGCTTGTGGTCCCTCTAGAGACCACAATTTTTATCTGATTTTAAAAACCGTTCAAATATATCACCATTACACCGTAATGATGGTTGAGCTCGAATTTCGTGAAAATCGGACCGAAATTGCCCGACAAAATGGCCACTACTCGTACGCAAATAGTGGAAAAGTATGTAATACCAATGTGGACCCTCCTAACCGATCTTGATGAAACTTAGTATGTTTATATCCCAACGATCTTGGTTCCTTTCGATATTCGTGCATATGGCCCCTGATTGTGGACCTTCTAGAGGTCACAATTTTAAATATCCGATTTAAAAAAAACGTTCAAAAATATCACCGTTACACAACAATGATGGTTGAGTTCGAATTTCGTGAAAATTCGACCGAAATTGTCTGACAAGGTGACCGCTCCTCGTACGTAAATAGTATAGCCTATATGCGTTCAATACCTTGATTGTAGGTCCTCTAGAGGTCACAGTTTTGATCCGATTTGGATGAAATTTAAAATATATGTTTATATCCCAAAGGTCTAGGTCCCTGTCACTTGTACGTATCGGACCCCAACTTTCTGTATTATGGCCCCTGATTGTATGAAAAATTGCCTTTTTTAGATTGTGTTCTGTCCATCTCTTGCAAAAAGTCGGTGTATCTTGAATGACAACAGCTTGTTAAATGTAGCCTAATCACTACAATTACTTTCTCATATTTTAGGCAATGTAGTTAATTACCATTACCCATCACATTGAAAGTAATGATTTCCATTACCCATTACTTTGTCCCGTTTAAAAGACAACCTTATGTATTTTTGTATGAATTGTCATTTCTATAAAAACATCACATCTAGGCAAAAGGAAATTTTCCAGTAAGGGGCGGCATGACATAAGAACTGTTATTCTAAGTTCTAACTGTATGTGGCTTTGAAAAAATAATTTAAAGTATACATGTAGTATTACTACATTTTAATTTCAAGTAATTTAAAATAAAATTCATAACCATTCCAAATAGTTTTTCCATAAATATTGTATAATTGGGAAATTATTCAGCATTGCTGTAAAATAAAATCGGATTGTAGCCTATATTAAGTAACCATAAATTGATAAGATACTTGAAGACTATTGTTTGGCTTACCACTTGTGACCTTGAGATTAATATTAATCTGTAATAGGACTATCTCATTGTCTTTTGTTTGATTGATTGATTGATTGACTAAATGATGTAATTCTAATTAACACTAATCTTTGATTACAATCTACATCTATTTGGAAATCCACTTGTTTAAACATGCATTATGCAAGAGCAAAATCTGCCTATTACAAGTCTTTCTTCAGGCCTGAAATGTTATCTAAATTATAAATTAGGCATTAATTAACTTATTCAGACCATAATAAACTCTCGATGTCAAGGCTTGCCTTCGGTGTTAGCTGGATTAGATTCCTATTTGCCGATAACGGCCGTTGATAAATAAATCAGAAAAGGTGGATAATCGAGACTATGCTGTTTATATTAATGATTTTAGTAATGATGACCGAGACTATGCAAAAATTTCACCCACTTCTTTCTCGGCTCATAATGGATCAATTTGACTGAAATTTTCAGCAAATTACCTTTACACTATCTAGTTTTTAACTATTATAGCGAGAACTGCCATCTCTTTATCTTATCTCCCATAATATATCTTTAAGTTTACTAAAGCTATATAATTTTCGTTATCGGAGTCACGGTGGCTCATTGAGTAAGACGTTGGCTCGCTAACCTGGAGGTCCCGTGTTCGATTCCAGTGTTGGCCGAAAAGTTCATCTGGATTTTCCGGCGTGGTTCCCCCCTTGACAAGGGGCAAGGTATATAGTCGTTAATGGGGCGATAACCCGAGGCCGCGTGTACACATTTGCGTGCTCGGAAAAGAACCCTTGGCTGTTGACATTCGATATAGGAGTAGGCCATAGCGCCGCTGTCCAGGCATATGTCCGTTTTCATTACCCCAGTCGTAGCAGAATACTAGGACGTTAAACCCCATTTCATTTCATTTCCTACGAGTTACATGGCGTGGTGGTGGTGGTGGTGGTGTGTGTGTGTGTGGGGGGGGGGGGGTATTGGAATGTAGGGGATTTTATTTTAGAGTAGGGGATGGTGTCTTTGTTTCGGAAACGTAATCCCACTACCAATCATACCTGGCTTTTTTACACTTCAAAATTGACACTTGATTGCTATACATAAACCCCGGACTTCCTTCTTTTAAAAAAAAACTTTGATTTAATTTATTTGATCAGTCCTTTATAAAAAAAAAACAATGGTCATAAAACTATATTCGTCTATGACGCGCACTGTGTCGCTGTACCAGTGTAGGGTTATAAATATAAATGAGAGGTGGGGACATCTTTTATTTATGTCATTAAATAACTGACAACAATCATATATTTTGTTGAAATGACAATAAAGTTATAATAACATATTTACGATGTAATAAAATATCATTACTTTATGCCCATAATTCTATTCGTCTTGTGTCTATTAAAGTCTTCCCATAATTTTACTACTTCACTTTTGTCATTTTTAGCCTGGCAACGATGGGTGTTGGTACTTTTGGTTTGATCTTTTTGTCCCATCCAGATGATTATAAATTTACGAATCTCAAATTCAGTTTTCGTGTGCATCGATACCTTCACTGGATATGTTCCAGTGTATGCCCACACTTTTCTTCCACACCTTGTAGAAGGTCAAGACATTGGCCAAATTCATCCAACTGGGAAATGTACACGATATGCATATTACTATAGTTACAGCCCAATATGCCCCCTAAGGCTGTCCATAGAAAGCAATACTTAAAAGAGCTCACCCGAAAGAAAATTACCGTACAGAACTATTAAAAATTAAGTAGGGCTTGGGTATAGTTAACAGGAAATAACCGAAACTGGTGACCCTGATTGTCAAGCTCTAAAGTGCGATGCAAATAATATAATTTTCGTGTAAATTTGATTTGAATGTATTGCCATTCCACAATACAAGAGTAACATATTGTAACACATTTGTTTTAGCTTTGTGAACTCTTCAAATAAAAAGTGGTATCAGGTGGCGGATTACCCACGGTGAGTATCCATTTCCCATAGGTCGGTAATATATTTATTTTCTCTAACATCTACCCTTTCGGAGATTTCGGAGATTTTCTGGTCCACGTACGGCCATCTTGTATTTATGCAAATTTCCCCAACCATAATGGCCGCTCTTGTTATGGAAGAACTGGAGACGACACCCAAACACTTCCTCCTATAATTGTTATTTCTACACTCCTAGCTTAGCTTAGAAAGTTAAAATGCAGAATATAAAAAAAATAATAACTACATAAATTAATTATATAAACGTCTGAGTAAAATAAAATTGTAATATTAAACACATAGTTAAAGGAACTAAATCGCTAATATTTGGGACCTAGAAATTGACAAAAATGGGTCGCAACGCAATAATGTAATATGAATGTATATAAACCGATTTACATTCAATCGTTTCTGTTTTTACTGTAATTTCTAATCAGTTATGTTCGGCGAAATACGCCAGAAGTCTCATGTGAATGGCAATCTTTAGCGTCTGTTTTTTCCAGTCTACACCGATGGTATTCATTGCACATGCTCTCCAGATAAGAATATAGCGTCACTATTTGACGTGACTTGTGGAATATGTCTATCCCTGTTCTTTGAGTCCCTTGTTCCAATGTACCAATGGTAAAATGTTTATTTTGTCTTGAAAATTGGATATCAGAAGCCCATCTTTTCCCTATAGATCACAAGACCAATGTTGATTTGAATTGACAAATAATTCGTGTTTTCAATGTCGAAGATTTTTGATGATATTGAGTTAGAGACTTAGCTACTTTATTCACTTTGAGTGTCCGAAAACAAAGACTTACGTGGTAAATGAAATCCCACACCCCGCCCTCCTCTCCTGAATGCCCGGCGATAGCAAGTATTTCCGATATGGCAGCTCTTAACTGGGGTTGAATTGAGCAACACTGGCAAGCCAATTGCAAATTAAAATGGACCTAAGCGTCATATTTTCCTTCAACGACTGGGCTAATGAAGACGGGCGTCGTCAGGCTATGAGGGAAATTTTGCCCGGACAGCGGCTCTATGGCCTACTTTTATTTCGAATTCCAACTGTCAACGGTTCTTTTACGTGCACGCCAATGTGGGCACATGACTTGGTTTTCATCTCATCCGAACGACCAGACGCTGTCCTTGCCAGGCACACGCATTGCAAATAAAATCCTGGGACCTGTTTCACGAAATTTTAACTAAGATAAAATACAAATTTTAGTAATTTGATTGGATAATATTAGATTGATTTTAGTGCTTATCCAATCAAAATTGAAGTATCTACTAAAATTTGGATTTTATCTTTAGTTAAGATTGCGAGAAACAGGGCCCTGAACTGCAACTGTATTGATGTTTATCTTGTTGTTGGCCCAATCTGAACATTACAAGTAAAATATGATTTCTAAACCTCTCTAATTACAAGCTATCGACATAATGTAGTAAGTAAATAATTTTGCCGAATAATAGAAACTTTAGTACTTCTTACACGATAAAGTTGAAAGAGGTCACACGCGATAGGGGAAACATCAATTCACATGATATATGAGTTGCAGATGGATTGAGCTGATGTCTTCAGATCTGTCATTTTCAGTTTATGACAACAATGACAATATGACGTCAGTCGAGGAAAGGCTATGGGTTTATGTTCATTGGTTGAAGTAAATAAGAGGTGTTACACATGGATATATAAGCGACACTCCACACAGGTTTAGCAACAAATAGTTTTGTTTATTTTGTCGGGCTTGTAAGAAAAGAACTAGAAAATGATGGTAAGTAATGGAAGTTAACATATCTCTATTTATCCATATTCCAGAATGTCTTTGGCGTTTAATTTGCTAGAAATGAAATGAAATGAAATGCGATTTAACTTCTTACTGTTCTGCTCCTAACCTGGGCTAATGAAGACGGGCATACGCCATACAGTGTGCTATGAGGGAAATTTTGCCCGGGCAGCGGCGCTACGGCGAATTTCTTACATCGAATTCCAACTGCCAAGGGATCTTTTACGTGCACGACAATGTGTACACGGGACCTCGGTTTTTCGTCCCATCCTTGTCAGGTCCTCCGTCCTGCATCACTGACAAGGAGAAACCACGCCGGAAAATCGGGATGAACTTTCTCGGCCAATGCAGGGATCGAACACCCGACCTCCAGGCTAGCGAGCCAGCGTCTTACCCACTTAGCCACGTGATCCCCCAATTTGCTAAAAAAAACAACCACCAATTCAATTTAATAATTTGCCTACTGTTTATGGTGCTAAAATTTTCTATTCACAGATTTTTGGACTCTTGAGTATAGTTCTGGTTGTGCACTCAACCAGTGCACAGCTTGATTTTGCTAGCATGTTTTCGTTAGATATTCTCCCAGCAAAAACTCCAAATTGCCATTGGGATGCTGCAACACCAGTACCTGAACAGACTCCACGAGGATTAGATGGCATATGTTTTGACAACGAACCGTATTATAATCAGTAAGTACTTCATAATTGCGATCACGAAATTTGTTATATCATTGCCAAAGGAAAAAAACTATTTGGCGTGTTTTTTTTCTGAAAATATAGTGGAAAGAAACGTTTTAGATCGATATTTGCACGCTGTATAACAAGCACCAACTATACTAATAACATACCCTGTTTTATTTAAAGGGACAATAACACTCTTGCTGGCTTGACAGCTCCAGAAAATAAAAAAATAGCCTTATTCTAAGTACTAGATGTGTTAGTGTCCTACCTGTTGTGTAAATTATCCATTAAATCCTATTTTACTTGTCCAAAGAGTTCAAAAATATTTTTAAATCCAAGACACATTTGAAAAGCTTCACGTCAGGCTTTTCAAATCATTTAGTTGAATTTTCCAATTTTTCAAATTAGGTGTGTTAAGATGAAATTTGTATCATCAATTAATTGGAATATTGTAAAATAGTACAATTTGTTGACTAGAATAAAGATTGGGACATATTATTCAGTTACAACAAGAGTGGTATTGGGTCTTTAAGGGATAGATTATTGTTACTTCATACGAAAGGGTCTTATTATTCTAGACCACATCCGTATAATTCATCAGTTGAAAAATCCGTTTTATATTTATAAGACATTTATTGAACAATACTCAAGAGGAAAAACCCATCTTGTGATTTCTTTAGCATATATTTGAAAATATTTGAAATAGACGAATCCATTCTATTACTCTCTACAGAGATTACAACAATTCTCAAGTTTTATTATATTTTCAACAGATTCCATAAATTCTTCAATGGAAAAAACTATCTTATCATTTCAATAGCAGATCCGAAAATAAACTGTAGTTATAGAACATTACAGCTTATTGTTTTACGTTCCAACATTTCTACAAAACAAATAATCCATTTGATTATTTCCTGAACAGGTTCGAACAATTCCACAGCAATAATAAAATATTTCTTATAACATAAAATTAAATCCATTTGATTATTTTCTGAACAGGTTCGAAAAATTCCACAGCAAAAATAAAATATTTCTTATAACATAAAACTAATTTACTGCAATGTATACGTAAAAAGTTTAGTTATTTCCGACAAAAGTACAACAAAACTGATCATCTATCTTTGAAGATGTATTTCATGGTAATTTTCCGCTATTAGTCCTAACTTCCATTCATATGTATTACGAAATAAGTTTGCTATAACCTCGCTAGCCTGACAAGGACAGCTGTCTAGTCATTCGGATGAGACGAAAAACCGAGGTCCCGTGTACACATTGGCGTGCACGTAAAAGATCCCTTGACAGTTGGAATTCGATATAAGAGTAGGCCGTAGTGCCGCTGTCCGGGCAAAATTTCCATCAAAGCACACTGTATGGCGTATGCCCGTCTTCATAAGCCCAGTTCGGAGCAAAACAGTAGGACGTTAAACCCCATTTCATTTCATTTCACCTAGCTAGTCCTTTTACGGTAATCTGTACAGTAAATGATTTACAATGTGGCGTAAGAATACTAATGTAATCGGGGCTTGCATCATCTTACATCAGCACATTATTGAATAAATTCCCAAGTTGAGCTTTAAAAATGATAATTTTTCTATAATACATACAATTCTCTTCCAGACAACAAATACAGCAAGCTTTGGAAAGAGATCCGGCAGCACAATTTTTCTACGACGCCTGTGTTCGGATGTACCAACCTATGAATGAAACATATTTCCGGTAAGTAGTACTAAGTACATCTATATTTAAAAAAACTAGAGTCACTTAATTTGTAAACAATAGCATGTTGCCTTTACTCGCGTCCAAAATAAATCATAGACAGAAAAATTATGTAAATATAGGTGTTATAGACATAATTATTTATTTCTATGTGTGTATTAAAGACATCATTTTTTTTTTTTTAAAAATTGGACATATAATTACTTTACATTTAGACATAACTGGCGCAGCGGTGCTCAGTGAGTAAGGATCTAACTGACTAGCTGGTAGGTCCCGGTTTCAATCCCGGTGTTGGCCGAGAAGTTCTTCGGGATTTTCCGGCGTGGTTTTCCCATTCAGTGGTGCATGATAGAGAGTCTGACAAGGACTATCTAGTCGTTCGGATGGGACGAAAAACCGAGGTGCTGTGTATACATTGACGTGCACTAAAAAGAATTCTTAACAGTTGGAATTCGTATGGCGTATGGCCGCCTTCATTAACGCAGTCGCTGTAGACAAGTAGGACGTTAAACCCCATTTCATTTCACTACAAATCGCTTAATAATGGATTGCTTATTATTCATGCAACATTTTTTGTTTTATTATTACAGTTCATACGACCAATACACATATAAAGATACGTGTAAAGTTACGCCTGAAATAGTGCTGAGAGTTAATTCCATCGATAAAAATGGTGTTGTTGAACAATGTAACATCGTTAATCCCTACCAACAAAACATCTACATGGCTAAATGCGGGTACAAATTCATTTTTTTTTAATATTCCATGTATTATCGTTTTAACATTGTAGGATTATTATGAATAATATTGAGTTAGGGGTTTAGCCCCCCTAAACTAGATTCCCGGGTGACAGACGGCGTTTTATATAATCATATTGTCTTTTGCATTAATAAGTAATAATTTTGGTGTTCAATTATTTCAGAACCAACTGTATGTATGGTAGTCAGGAAGCTCCCAATAACTTCTGTGTTCCAGACGGCTATATACAAAGATATGCACTCGCCTTCTGTCCTGGCTCCATTAAAAAACAGTGCCGAGCTGTTCGTATCACCATACCAGTAGGATGTAGCTGTAAACGATACACCTGTCTCAATTATCAAAAATAAGTTTATTTTGAATATTTAAAAATACACGCAAACCTTTGTTTTGAGTCCGTTCACGCGAAAATTATAAATACTACAAATTTTAATATTTTCAATATCTGAAACTGTGTATTGCAAAGCAAATTTTATCTAAAATGAACTGAAAATCACTTGATTTAATATCGCTACATACAAGTATGTATGTTATGTTTACAATTATAAAAATGTATAATATTTAATTAATCAGTTTGTATATATCTGAAAATGCACATAATGTCAATATATGTAAATATGTATATAATATTTCACACACCGTTCATCATGTTTATAAATGTTTGTACATAATATGAAATAAAACTGTTATAAGCAACTAGTCTTCCAATGATCCAGTTGTATTTGTGCAATATAAAGACTTGTATTCCAACTATATGTTTTGTGACATTGTAAATAAAATAATTACTTATGCATATTAAATGATTCCGAATGTGTTTTGTCGACTGGAATGACGATTAAGATTGTATAAACGTTAATAAGATTCAAAAATAAATTATTGTCGGTATCTGGATCTGGAGACACGTGAGAGTTAGGTGGTATGATATGGATAGGTGCTTAAAGATACAGTCTCACGACAGTATTTATAGAGTAGTTATTCCCAATAAAAGTATGGCAAATTGAGTATATGGAAAGTAGAGACGCCCAATCTTACTAGAAAAATACTGGATTCCCTGGAAAAACAACCATCGGGCAAGCACTGGGCAAAAATATCAGGGTAACACTAAATGTCAGTCCTAGCGGCTTATTGTCTGCAATCTTGACTCAGGGGTCGTTTGCTATGGTTAGGTGATTTGGGGAACATTGAGGGGTTTAAATGTACAACAGACAGTGCAATTAAACGGCGGAAGAAAAAAAGTTGCCAGACGATAATTATAGAATTGTATGGTAAATGGTGAGTAAGTAACGACAAATACATTCTGAAAATGGACTTTCCCTCGATCACGTTACATGACAAACCTGGCTTTTAAAAATAGATTTTGTATATCTTGGGGTATTTCCTTGCAATTACAACGTTTTGAGAGGGATTAGAAGCAAATTTGTGATAGATTGATTAGTTTGAATATATTGTATTTAGCCCAAATAAATTATTTATCGTACGTTTATAAGAATAATTGGGCGAAACCGGTGGGTGCTAGAGCTATATTATCGTTCGAGAGCCACGGTGACTTAGTTAGTAATGCGCTGGCTGGCTAACTTGGAGGTCATTGGTTCAATCATGATGTAAGTCGAGAAAGTTCCTAGGGAAATTGTTAGGCGATTCCCCTTGTCAATTGCGTAGGTCTTGTGTACACGTTGGCGTGCACATAAAAGAACACTTGGCAGCTGGGATGCACTGGAGAATAGTAGGAATCGACAGTGTTCGGTCAAAATTTCCGCCCGGCGTAAAACCTGTTCGATCTGATGACACAGTTGGACTTCAAACATATTCAGACTAATGTATCTATCAGTTGTTTTCTGCAAATCCCTCTCAACATATTTTAATCTGCAGAAAACTGCTTCATGCTGCGAGATATATTTCATCAGCCTTGTGTATCACGTGACCAGGGGCGTAAATGCGGGGTGTGTGTGTGGGGGGGGGGGGGGTTACACCCCCCAGGAAAAAAAATAGTCGGTCGCAAAATCAGTGCAGTCGGTCGCAAAATAAGAGCAGTCGCAAAATCAGTGCAGTCGGTCGCAAAATAAGAGCAGTCGATATCAAAATAAGTGCTCACCGCACACGTCACGCTACTCACGCAAAACTTTAGTATAAAATAACCTTGTCAACTTAATGTGTTTCACACTTATTCTGTTGTCAGTATGTAGGTCTAAGAACAAAATTTCCCCCAGGGAGAAAAATAATCGGTCTCAAAATAAGTGCAGTCACTGCAGTCGGTCTCAAAATTATGCATCGCCGTCTTAATGAATTAATGAGGTAAACAAATAATGCCAGAATAGATCCCAAATACTAGTCGGTCGCAAAATCAGTGCAGTCGGTCGTAAGATATGAGCAGTCGGTATCAAAAAAAGTGCTCACTGCACACGTCACTCTACTCAAGCAAAACTTTAGTATAAAATAACCTTGTCGACTTATCATGTTTGAAAAAATATTTTTCACCCCATGGCAAAAAAATAGTCCGTCTCAAAAAAAGTGCTCACCGCAGTCGGTCTCAGACTAAATGAATTAATGGGGTGTTTTCTGACCATCAGAATTCTGCAAAATCTCTCCCCAAAGTCCAAGGCATTTCAGAGACCAAGTAAGCGCCCTATTGAGGTAAAGTGCCCTCAGGCCCAGTCCTCAAAAATTAAAAGCTCAGTTACATATCGGCGCTCAATTCCATTATGCCATCATTCTTCAACTCCTTCTCTGTCTCATACTATCTCATCACTATCATATTCACAGTTACAGTGAATCGCCCAGTTAGTAGTGCCACTGGTGAGTGAGTCGTGGGTCAAAAGACTGTAGAATTGTTAGTTCTACTCTCACAAAACAGGCGACATTGACAGATAGGCCTCAAGATTCTGTCCCATTTCTTATCCTCTCGTTAACGAGAATTTGGATCCATATTTGCCATGACATTGACTAAAATTGTCAGGCACAGTCCCAAAAATTAAAAGCTCGGTTACACATCTCAAATTTTTTCGCGCCTGCGGCGCTCGATTCCATTATAACATCATTCTTCCACTCCTCTGTTGTTTTATACTGTCTCAGCACTATCATATTCACGGTTATACTGAACTGCCTGCCTAGTTATGTTAGTAGTACCACTGGCACTGGTGTGTTGGTCGTGGGGCGTCAGACTATACAAAAGTTCTGTCAACTCTTGCAAAACAGGCGGAATTGACAGGGGCAGATCTCGAGATTTTGTCTAATTGACTCACATTTCTGGTCCTCTCGTCCACAAGAATTTCTCCCAGCAATGACCTCAAATGCCAAGATATTGACTCAATTTTTCAAAATTTTCTCAGGTTGCTCAGTGTTATAGGCACAATCATATATGACATAAACTTTATGTCAACTTAAATAAAACTGCTTTCCAGCGAGACAACGATCGACAACTACAATGCCATCTATGTTCTACTGGGACGCTTAATGTTATAGCCAGAATTTTGTTGACATTCATTGTGGGGTGGGAGTGTGGCTGGGGTGGCCCCCTAGATTTGGACCTCCCCCACCCCATCTAGATCCGCTACTGCACATGGCTCCTACAAAACTCGCACCTGTGGTGCTCGGTTCCTGACTGCGTCACTCGTACTAGGGGTATGGGCATCAGTCGGTCGCATTTTGGCTAAACACCCCCCCAAACAAAATCGTTATGTACGCCCCTGCACGTGACTATTTATTGATCGAGAATTTATTTATGTCGTTAATATCGAAGTCTAAGTAAATTCCTGGATTATCTTCTGCCAACTTCCTGTCTCCGCTGTTTAATGTCAGAGTCTACTTGGCGTTTAATTCTTTCAATGTTCTCACAACCGTTAGGCATTGAATCAAGAAGCGCCCCTCGTGTCACTCACGGAGACAGGCTGCTTTTTAGAGAAACCCTCACATTTTTGTCCTGTGTGCACCCCATATGTGTTTTTTCAGGGATTCAGGTATTTTCTAGTAAGATTGGATGTCTCTACTTCATACCACAATTGTTATAGTTTTATTAGAAACTAGCAGGATATCCAGCTTCGCCTGGGACCCAGTTCGTCCGGGGTCCAAATTCTCCAGGAGCCCAATTCGATGAGGGCCCAAATTCGCCCGAGGCCTAAATTCGATGGCCTCAAACATTCAGGGTTAATTTGATACCACGTGTGGGGGTGTAACGAGGCGACGAAGCGTTATTGATCCAAGGCCCACATTCAATGGCCTAAAACATTCACGGGGCCATGCTGGTTAATATGTGCTTGAATTTACATTTTTGATAAATAGGCTCTTGGTGGTTATGAAGATTAAAATCATTGGAATGTTCAAACTGAACCCGTTCGTTTATAAAATTATGATGATATAAATGATCACCTGACGTAAAGAAATATTAGAGCCCATACATCTAAGCGCGCTCTCATCGAAACAGTTATACTAAAAGTCAGCGATATGATGAGTTTAGTAGTCATTGTTGGTACCAATTTATCTCATTTATGTGACAAGGTTTTAAAAACTCTCCTAATTTACTAATAAACAACATTGTCATATAATGTCACACACCTTGATCTATAGCCCATTATTTTGTCATTATCGGATTTTTATTCTTTATCCGCTTTTTTAAAATGTATCCCATACTTTGTACATTTTGTTAATTTATAGATTACATATACTTACACTGTGATATGCCAAGTCTTTAACTCGTTATCATCCTGTGCAGTCTTCGACATTGCAAACACGACTTATTGGTCAATTTGATGTTGTTATCTTACTTTGAAAAGATGGGCTTCTGGTATTCAATATTTAAGAAACAATGAAAATTTTATATGTAACGGATTAGCCTGTTCAGTTTAGACAGTGCATTTTCCAAATTCACTCCGGTTGTGAGACGGAATGGTTATTTTTTCTAGCAGTGTCAACCTGTCATAATAAATCATGTCTCATATGTCATATGACTACAGGTAAAATGATCTCTCACGGTGGCTGTGG